TGTGTGTGTGTGTGTGTGTGTGTGTGTGTGTGTGTGTGTGTGTGTGTTTTGAGGCTCTGTGCATTGCAGGAATCGTTATATAAATGTTCTGTAAGGTTGAGTTGGAGGGAGGCAGGGGTACAACAGGGACGTGTAAATCAAATCTGGGACAACTTTATGCGAAATAACTTGCAGCTCTTCAACTGATATTACAACCATTCAACTTGTGTCCAGTTTCATTAAAGCTTGTGCATTTACTGTCCGATGCGCACAATGTCTGGAAGCTTATTCCTAAAAAATCGAATCATGTAGAGCACAGCAAAATTAAATATGTGCAGGTTAGCACGAGCAATAAGCTGTAAACCGTGGAAAGACATCACAGTCCGACACACAATGATTGACAAGAACTCATGGTCTGTTTTTGATTGTTATGACTTGTAAAATGTTGTACAGACGTCTTCATAGGTCCAAGATTTTGGACTGTCTGGAAAAAAAACTATGGAAAATCTGCCTGTTCTCAGACACGAGGACTTTAAACGTATTGTGACGTATGTTTGTGATTGAATAACTCTTTTTACTCTCTTTTTTTCTTCTCGGCAATAACTAACTTCATATCCCAATGATTGCAAGTGAACTGTTTTGAAATGCCACTCTAAGAGACACACACACACACACACACACACACACACACACACACACACACACACACACACACACACTGAGACAGGCTGGTGTCATTAGCAGCCGGCTCTAGAAGTTTGTTATCACGTCGTAGATGAACTGAAGAGGCGTTTTATGTAAGTTGTTCTTCAACGCGCAGCAAGCTCATCACCAGCATCCATGCTTCATAATTTTAAGAATGAGTGTGTGTGTGTGTGTGTGTGTGTGTGTGTGTGTGTGTGTGTGTGTGTTGGTAGTTTGTCCTTGCTTGTCCAGTTGTCCCAGGCGGATTCTTGGCTGCACTGCCCTACATATGTGTGTGTGTTGATTTATATTCTTATGTGAAAACTTGTCCTCTGGAATGTTTTTGTTTTTTATGTGCGTGTGTGTGTGTGTCAGTGTTTGTGTCCTGTCTTGTGTTTCATAAGCCGTCCATATATATGATCGAGCTCTTACATAAGCCTCAGATCTGGTTCAGTGTGTCTGAGAGAGAGAGAACTAGAACTAGAAAAGAAGAGGAGTTTAGAAAAGAATAAAAATAAGTCAACAGAACAGAGTTGAAGGTGCTAAAGGTGTGGTTTCTAAATGTTTTTATTGAAGTGTGCTTCGGCTCAGGATGAGCGGAATCTTCTTCATGGTGTTTTGCAAATGTAGTTTAGTTAAATATCAATTTGAAAACTTAAATCCTCTCAGCCTCCAGCTGGCAACAGCATCTCGTTTTGTGATTTGTGTTTTGTCACTTTAGAAACAAGGATTGTGGTTTGTTTAAGACTTTCACAAACCACGCAGTATCGTTCATCCAAAATAGAAGAATGATCTTAATATCATCTTTTGAAGTACCCATCCACATCCATCTGACCATGAAAGAATATGTTTACCAGCACACAACTGAACAGTGAGCAACATGTAATGGAAAGATAATACAGCACCAATACAGTAAAACTAGCTGTGTTTGAATAGGGGTTTCTCACATCACAAAATATTGGAATTTTATTGGCCTACCTTCACACAGAATGTAGAATATTTCATTGACCAGTTGATATAAAACAACAGGATACGTGCTTAAGAATCAATGTCAGGCTCGCTGCCTGTAGGAGAATCGATTCTTGGATCTAGCTTTTATTTTAGTTTGTTGAAATGTGACCGTTTTGTCTCAGGGCAGCACTATTCTTTGCAGAAGACTGCATGTAATATCTTTCAAAACTTTCCTCAAATGTGCACTCGCATAACAGAGTTAAGTTTGTAAATCGATTCAGAATCGTGGGCGATAAGAATCTAATCTCAAAACATGCATCATGTCCCGTCACAATATGTCCATTTTTTTCTATCACACGTCAATAACCATCCGTCTTCTCGTCCTGTCTCCCTCACACAGACCAGTCCCACAGTGCTCCCTTCAGCTCCGAGAATGAGGCTCAGGGAGGCGACTCGGCCGCCTGGCAGTGTACCCCTCCCCCATCTACCTCTGCCCGTCCTCCTCCCTCGCAGCCCGCATCCAGGTCCCGCTCCAGGCCGGCCAGCCAAAGCCCCCCCCCTCCCTCCGCCCCGACAGGCACCAAGAAGAGGAGCTCCAAACCGGCACACATGAGACGCAACATCAGGTACTGAACTCGGCGCCCTCGCTTCAACTCAAACGTTCGTCTCAGTCGAAGGCTTCAAATGAACGCCCACTTGTTTATTCTGTAGGGATCCTTAAGAAACCGAAACATAAACTGCAACAATTAACCCCCCATCATTTATTGTTAAAGCTTTAGATGAATAGTCAACCTGCTGTATTAACAAACTGATTCCTATAGTCATTCTATGTAAAAACTACACGGTATATATGTATATATACAGCATATACAAACACAATAACCTATTATAACAAATACAATCAATCCAGACTACAAAGCACAGTTTCTTTCAGCCATTTTTAACTAGATTTTAGAAAATGACTCAATGCTTGGCAAGCAGTAACCGGTCAACTCTGAGATGAAAGGGATTACTTTACAATCACATGACGATGTTTCTGCTGAGGTGCAGAGTATACAAAGACTCACTCAACTTGTTTGACTATTATTTTATTTTGCATAACATTGATTGTTGGCTGGATAATCAGATTCATCATCTCTCTTTATGCCTTCCTCCTCTCCCTCCTCGTTCCTCTCTGATTTCACTCTCATTCTGAGGAACCAAAGCACAAAACTACTGATGAAATCTGTCCATGATCATACGAGTGTATTCTCAGTCTGCAGCTTCATTCCTCCAGCTGCCAGTAACCACAATATAGCCTCAAATATGCTGTTGCTTTTACATAACAGCGTCTTTACAATAACATCAAACAACATGTCAGAGATGCAAATCTATGTGTATGCGAGTGTTAAATAGTGGAGTCATTTAGTAGTTACAAGATGCTGTTCTATTATATAACAAACACTGATAAGCTGTCTTTTTTAATCAGAATGAGTTCTCATGTATTATTTCCCCAGAATTTCAGCAATGAATCACTCGTCTAACATCTCTGTCTCTCTTTTAAATAATTGAACTATGCAGCTGTCAAAATAATTTGCAAATTTCAGTTTCTGGCTGATATCTCCAACACTCAGTAACTCACACCAAATCAATCCAGATTGGTAAATAGCACTACGGTCAAGAAGAAAAATATGTATTGTTGATTTTGGGGTTAACTGTCTCCTTTTTAAAGCTGGACTCCTCAACCTTTGACCCTTAGAGGGCAGAAGAACTCAAAAACAAGCTAACGGACACTCAACCCTTTTTCTTTGCTGAAAACACAATTATACAAATGTGTATACAATGAAAACCATTGTTGTCTTTATGCAGTTAACAAATACAATGACGGTTGTTAGTTTGTAAAAACACAATACCGTCTACATACAAATGTTATTTTTCTTTTTGTGTCTATGCAGGAAGTTACTGCTGGAGCATCAGTTGGAGTCAGTGACCAAAGCCGCCCAGCAGGACGAGTTGGAGAGAAGGAGACGTCTGGAGCAGCAGAGCAAACAGGATTTCCCCGTACCACTGCTGCCTGAATACACAACTGGTAAGAGCATTTACCACCCCAAAATATGCTTACATGAACATTAACATTATCCACTGGTCCATCAAATCCTCCTCCAACATAGATTCCAGATGCCCAGAACTAACTCTTGACTTCCTTTCTTTTCTTCCCTTCCTGTCCCTCATTGCTTCCCAATCTTCTTTCCTCTCTCTTTGCATCGTCCCCGTCCTTCTCTCCAGGTGATGTGTCAAAGCATGTGTCGTCATCGGCGGCCTCTACAGCGTCGCAGCAAGAAGTGAAGTCGGTCCAACCGGGAGTGATCTGCCTGGACTCCAGCAGCACCGGCCTCAGCGAGAACAGAAAGACTGACGTACCTACGACAGAGCGCTCACACAAAACAGGTGAGACATGCAAACATTTGTCACCTCACGAAGCACGTTTTTAGAATGAATGTGCTGATTACAGTGAGCAAGCCAACAGCCCATGAAGCCAATGTACTGGTGCACTTTGAGGTCCAATACCTACAGTAGCTCGAAGGCTTGTCTGGCAGTCACTGAGGGAGGGATCTATCAAAAGGAAATATCACTTGAATACACATTCCTGGTAGTTTGTCGGTGTCGGGTGGAAACCTCACATCTCTAACGCATCCGTCTCTCAGAGATTAAGCAAAGCGGCCTTAATAGCCTCGTGACAGCCATGCGTTTACTAAATTACACACTCCGTTTCAAATTGCTCTCTGAGCCCAGGGGTCTGGAAAGAAGGCACATTAAACGACTGCGTCAGCTTGAATTTCCAGGAGAAGTAACGGAGGATTGAAAAACAAGCCAAATCTGAATGAGGTTTTTTTTACTCAAAGGGCCACAACACAGCAGATATCTGGGCCAGTATTCATCTCACATCTTGGGATGATTTGTTGGTTTGATTTTTCGGGATGTTCAACATCATGTCCGCAAAGACAATTTAGTGTTAAAAAACGCTTGATGTACCAGAGTGAGGGACTTCTCCGCTCATTTCAGCTCTAAGTAAAGACAATATAAAGGAAGTTTCACCTCATTTCAAACAAAAACTTTGATTTCTTTGAATTCTTTCGAGAGTGAAACTTTTAAACCCAATTACTGAAAGTCTCCCTGTACAAATGTAAACAATGAAGGTAAAACAATCACCACCGTTCCTGTTAGGTGTGTGTGTGGAGTTTTCGTAGGTTAGCAGCCATGTGCATCAGAATATTTAAAACCTCATCAGGGTACATCATGTACCGCTCCCTTATTGCCCAAGTGCGCACACACACACACACGCACGCACGCACGCACACACACACACACACACACACACACACACACATTCAGAGCCACTCAAACAGCCAATGATAAACACACACACACATACTCAGTCGGGAATAAACACACACACACACACATACTCAGTCGGGAATAAACACACACACACATACTCAGTCGGGAATAAACACACATACGCTCTACGTTGAAAGGAGACTAATATAAACTGTAGGCACACACACCTACAACACAAACACGCACACAGATGAGAGAGAGACCGATGAACGGTCTCTCCGGAGGATCAGAGTTAGCTAAGCCGTCGTTTGGATGAACAAAGACAGATATGTCGATTTGGGAGCTGAAAAAGACCAAAGGAGAGAAAGAACGGACGGAGGGAGAGAGAGAGTGTCTGCGGGGCAGAGCCGAGTGGGTCTTTGGAGCAATAAAGCTGGCTAATCCTGGTTATGAGACAGAACACACACACAAAACGAACACACACACACTCACAGTGACACAGTGACATTTCCAGTTGGGGTTGCATAATGTCTCCCCCTCCACTCTAATCCTACTTGTATAACCAGCCATTCACTGCAGTTATATAAACTCACACACACACACACACACCTCTCCCCACCGTTCCCTCGCAGGCCACCAGCTTGTGTAACTTTCACCACTCGATACCATTGACTTTTAACATCATGACGGCGCCACTGTTTACCACATTACTTGAGATGAATGTGTCAAGGCCAATTAAAACAAGTTGTTTTTATTGGAAAAGCTGCAGTCTTTCTGCCGTAAAACTGCCTTAAGTTTTCTCTTTGGATCAGTTTGTTTTACTCGTGAGGAAAAAAAGACCTTTGAATTTAAGAGTTTGCTTAAATACATCTGTGAACGCACGGTCAAATCCTTTTTTTTAATCGAGTTGTCAGTCCGAGATCAAAACGGGTTTTCTGAACATTGAGTTGGAAAAACAGTTTGCAAGACCCGCAGTGTCATTTTCAGAGAACCTAAATCTCGTCCCTCCGTGCAGATGTGATATATCTGAGTTCGGGCGAGGACGACACCGTCGAACACATCAGCAGAAAATTCACCGTCGAGAAAGAAGAGATCGAGCCGAGCGGCGCGCACGCCAATGACGCCCTTAACCGACCGGACCCCCGGGGCCGGGTGCTGGTCAACTTGAACCATCCGACTGCAGAGAAGGACATTTTCCTGATGCCTCAGTTGGCGCGAGCAGTCAAACCTCACCAGGTATTTGTTTTACTTCTGCACTCAAAGCAAACACTTGGTGCTTTTTGTCTGCTTTGGGATGTATATAAGGAAATAAGTATCTGAATATTGTAAAATCAATAAGTAACAATAAAGACGTTTTTTCATTGATGTGTCCAAATCTGCCTTTGATGAGACTTCTTTTTTTTTTTTTTTTAGTCGTACTGTGAAAATTACTTTCTTCAAAATTTAGATTTGTTGACCTTTTTAATTCCGATTTCATGACCTTTTTAAGTGACAGACAGCCTGCTGAGTGTGATCTTTTCATTCAGTTTTAATGAGATATCACAGCTCTTTCACCACGACCTTCTGTCTCGCTTCCTCCTACTTCTAATTTCATTTTTTTTTCTTCCTTCTTTCTTCACCACCTCGCTCGCTTTTCTCATTGCCACGGCTCCAACTATCTCTTTGTCACCATCTTCCTTCTCCTCTTTTCCTGCTCTTTCCTCATTAATTCTCCTTCCGTCCCGTTTCATCCTCAGATCGGCGGAATCCGTTTCCTGTACGACAACCTGGTGGAGTCGGTGGAGCAGTTCGGCGGCAGCAGCGGATTCGGCTGCATCCTCGCTCACAGCATGGGCCTGGGCAAAACGCTGCAGGTCATCGCCTTCATCGACGTCCTGCTGAGACACACCCAGGCTCACACCGTTCTCGCCATCGTACCTGTAAGCACCTGCGGACTTAATGTTGGAATGCAAGGGAATGTAACCGATCGGATCGATGAGTGCTCAGATTCAGACACGCAGTAGGATCGGTGATAAGGCTGTTGATTAAATCAGGCAATGTGAATGATTAAGAGAACAAGAGTTTAAGCACAAAATGCTTGCCATCAAATTTATGGTAATAAATGTGTTCCAAGTCGGAACAGTAAAATATTTCTTCCTGGTCAGTGGATCATTTCAGCTCTGGATTAGACATAATCAAAGTCAATTTGGATAGCGGAAGACGTGAGGATTGAAGATTGACTCAGATTATTTATCCATTACTTTCCTCCCAGGTGAACACGCTGCAGAACTGGCTGTCAGAGTTCAACATGTGGGTCCCAGCCCCGGAGGCGTTACCTCCAGATACCGACCCGGGACTGGTGACTCCTCGTGCCTTTAAGGTTCACATCCTCAACGACGAACACAAGTGAGTAACAGGAACGAGACCTTTTTTTTTTTAGCTTTTCCTGAGTATTGATTTCTTAAAAAAGTAAGATTTTTAAATCCTTCAGGGCAGGCTGTATCTCCCTCACACGCATGCAGCAGGGTCACTGGTTGATTTTAAAAGCCTAATTTAAGATGCTGGATGCAATAACATTCATGAAAACAGTGAAGGGACTTTCTTCATCTCTAAAAAAAGACAACGCCGACCTTCTGATCTGACCTGCCTCTGCACTTTATCCCCATCTGGCTCGTCCTCTCCCCCCGTCTCTCCATCATCCTCTTTTTGACAGCTGCCACTGCTGGAAAGATTTTCTGACTCTCTCATGCGTTGTGTGTGTACGTGTGTGTGTGGATTAGAGAGCAAAGAAGGGATGCTGCTAAAAGTGACACAGTTACCTCATTTTACTACTGTCCAAACAATACTCTGAAATCATTATTAAATGGTAATGAATTGGTAATTTATTACAATTGGATTGATTACAATACTTCGTTCTCTCTTTTTTATACAAGATAATGTGTTTTTTTATTCCCTTCCGTCTCTCTCATATGCTTTACAAACAATGACTTACATTTTCTTGCATCACCCAGGAACACAGCGAGCAGGGCCAAGGTGGTGGAGGATTGGGCTCAGGACGGCGGGGTGCTGCTGATGGGCTACGAGATGTACCGCCTCCTGTCGATGAAGAAGAGCTTTGTGGCTGGGAGGAAGAAGAAGAGCAAGAAAACAACCGGACCTGTCGTCGTCGACCTGGATGAAGAGGACAGGCAGCAGGAACTGCTCAAAGGTGGGAAAGGTGGAGAGGAGAGGGAGGAACAAAGAGAAGTTAAAAATGGAGAGGAAATGTAATATATGCTACTTTTTAAAGCACCAGTGTAGAATGTCACTGAAGATATTTATGCCTGTTGTCCTCCAGGTATCGAGAAAGCCTTGGCCCGGCCTGGTCCAGACGTGGTGATATGCGACGAAGGCCATCGCATCAAGAACTGCCACGCCAGCACGTCGCAGGCTCTGAAGAGCATCCAAACCAGACGCCGCGTGGTCCTGTCCGGCTATCCGCTCCAGAACAACCTGATCGAGTACTGGTGCATGGTCGACTTTGTCCGACCCGACTTCCTAGGTACGGGCCGCGATCAGCGTTTTGTTTCAGGCGTTGTTTTTAACCAAGCGCTCGCTGAAATTAGCATGAAGATGTTTGTCATCAAAGACTGCATTTGTCCCTTCCTTTTTCCTGTTCATCTTCTGACTTCAGATTCTGCATCCGATATGTATTTCAGGTACGAGGCAGGAGTTCAGTAACATGTTTGAGCGTCCCATTCTGAACGGGCAGTGTGTGGACAGCACGCCTCAGGACGTCCAGGTGATGAGGTACAGGAGCCACGTCCTGCACAGCCTGCTGGAGGGCTTTGTACAGAGGTGAGACGGCTGCCTTCATAAAGCCACAACTACTGCCCAGAAAACCCAACTTGACCTCCCTCAAATATTTAACAGAGAACACAAAGGTTCTATTGACATTTTGGCTCTCTTAAAACCTGAGAATTTCCCCAACCTATTCTTCATTTTGAGTAAGATTTCACAAATATTGACCGTCACTTTACTTCATTCCAGGCGAGGTCATGACGTCCTGAAGGACCATCTGCCCTCTAAAGAGGAGCACGTGATTCTGGTGCGTCTGTCTCCCCTGCAGAGGGCGCTCTACACAGAGTTCATGAACCGCTTCAGAGAGGCAGGAAACTCCGGCTGGCTGAGCCTCAACCCACTGAAGGCTTTCTGCGTCTGCTGCAAGGTGAGGAGGAGGGCATGTGTGTGGAAAGCTACCTGGATACAAAAAGACACATATTTAACATCTATGGATGTTTTTACATCAGTGTCATAGATACTATTACTAAAGCCTTTTATTTAGAAGTCAGTTCCTGCAGTCCTTGAAATATTGTGACACAAGTCAGCATGTTTCTGCACCAAGATAAATTCCTGTGTATTCATCATACTAAATCCAGTTGTTACTACCTCGAGTGTGTTTTCACACCACTGATCTCCTGTTATTCTTCAGATTTGGAACCATCCAGACGTGCTGTACGAGGCCTTACAGAAGGAAAGCCTGGCCAGTGACCAGGACTTGGACCTTGATGACATCACTTCCACAGGTCTCACCCGATGTCCAACCGCACCCAATCAAAAGTCCAAGCCCCTTGAGAACCCCAACCCCATTGGTGGACTAAGTCTCAACCAGCTGCAGGAGAAAGCCAATCAGGTCATCACTTACGAATGGGTACGTCGGAAAGACTGGAACGCTAAAGAGTTTTGAAACTAATTCGATATTTCCGCTCCCTTTAGCATAAAGCTGCACTTTGCATTTTTTTAAGCTGAACATTATGTTCCCCCTCATTGAGACGCTGCTGTCGGTTCAGTGCTGCCACCCACAGTATAGAGGAGAGAAATAGAAACATGAACTATCCATTAATCAAACAAAGATCCAGTTCCAAGAAAGCTGGACTCACCAACGTACATCACAGTACATCATCTCTACCTATTAAAGTCTGCAACATTACAACACTTATCTTCTCCTGACATTCAGGGCGCTTGGGGCCATAATTAGTTCTGAAGCCTTTTTGCACTTGTTGGATAGAGTTGTATTTGATGTGTGATTAAAAATTCTGCTCGGAAGCTTTGGAAACTATGAGGAATATAGCTAAATCAATGGTGATACTGTTGAGCATGCATCATGAGACACTTTTGGATCAAAATCCCACAAAATATGTGGAATTGAATAGTGTGAAATGAAGCATTTCAATGAGAGTTCACAGCTTTGGTTGTTACCTCTGTTATTAAGGTTTGCAAACCTCACTTTTGTGAAGTCGGTCTTAGTTTGCTTAAATAAGGCCCACATCTCTTCAGCTGATCTACGTAAAGGTGGTGTTGTGTAATAGAACAGTACGTTCTAACAGTCCCTCTCTTCACATGGCCAGGCGAAGCACATCCTGTACGACTACAAGCCCGGCTACCTGGAGAACTCTGCAAAAATGATGCTGCTGTTCCATCTGATCGAGGAGAGCGTCAGGAAGGGAGACAAAATCCTCGTCTTCAGGTATCTGAGTTTCTTTTTCAGTTATTTTCCCACGTATGTGATATAACAAACAAAAGCTATTCATAGCTAAAGAAATTATGAAATGGGAAGTGAATCTCACCTCAAACTTGTCCTTTTCTTAGCTTTTATTTTTCTGACTTTGCTAAATTCTACTTTGCTTTACATTTACATTACTGGTCCTTTCTTGCATGTGATCCACTCCTTAATTCTGCCCTTTTGTCTGCCTCCTGCAGTCAGAGTCTGTCCACACTGACGGTGATAGAGGATTTTCTGGCTAAGAGACCAGTGCCTCCATCGCCCAACACGTCCAGCAGGGACAGACCCAATCAGAACTGGGTCCGCAACCTCAACTACTACAGTAAGTGATCAAAAAGTATACTGTAAAGATATTGTTCATGGTTCAGTGTTCAGGTTCAATAAATATCCCAAACTAGAAACCTGCTGTGAAGGCCACATGACGAGGGGACTTGGAATAGGAGGAGACGGGTTGAAAGGCTATGTTAGCACAGTGAAGGTGGTCGAACTGTTCTGTAAGTTTATCAGTCATGTTTTCTGTCCACAGTCCTTAAATATTGGAACATACTCATAAATCTGTTGGTTTTTCTTGACTCCAGTGGTTTGGTTGTGCAGTGGTTCTGCTCCTCTCATTGACTTACAATGAGTGCTGCCATCTGCTGGCGTGTCTTGAAAAACAGCCAGACTTTGGTTTATGGTTCTGAAAGGAATTCACAGATTTTGTAGAGTTGGTGTTTGTGTTTTTCACGGATATTTAAAGCCTGGTCTTGTAAAATATGAACTGTATCCACAAAGTCACTTTGTCAGCCAATTAAAAGTGAATTGAGTTTTAACTACGTCATGCTTATCTTATTTAGCACATATGTTCTCTTTATTCTGAACTTGTGTCCTCTGCACATGTTTGTTGTCTTATTTTACCTATAGATTACATATAATAGTAGGAGGAGGAGAATCAAATGGGACACAGTTGCACTATATAGTGAAGTTAGTTAGTCAGGACTGTTCTGACTCTCTATTGGTTGTGTGATGTCTTGCAGGACTGGATGGAAGTACAACAGCCTCAGAGAGAGAGAGGCTTATAAACCAGTTCAACGCTCCGTCCAACACCTCGGCATGGGTTTTCCTGCTGTCAACTAGGTAAAACACACAATAATGGTCATATTAATGGATGATAATGGATGCGAATTGTCAGGACATAACCCGACTTGTGACCTCTCTGGGTCTCAGGGCTGGTTGTCTGGGCGTAAACCTGATTGGGGCAAACCGCGTGGTGGTGTTTGACGCCTCCTGGAACCCGTGCCACGACGCCCAGGCCGTGTGCCGCGTCTACCGCTATGGGCAGAAGAAGCCGTGTCATATCTACCGGCTGGTGTGCGACTTCACGCTGGAGAAGAAGATCTACGACCGCCAGATCTCTAAACAGGGCATGTCAGGTGAGTCGCAAAATGGATTATGTTTGAATTCCAGTGTTTGCTGTAAGCCTTGACTGGCTAGACAGACACGTTGAGGCCGCTTATGCTTCGGAGAGCCGTAGGAAATCAGCCTTGTTGGTCCACAGTTTGTTTTCTTTCTTCTTTGTTCCTATTTAACGTCCTCTCCCTCTTTCTCTGTCTTCCTCTCTCCCTCCCTCCATAAGACCGGGTAGTGGATGACCTGAACCCTGTGCTGACCTTCACCCGGAGGGAGGTGGAGTCTCTTCTTCACTTCGTGGATGAGGAGCCGGACCCCTCCCAGGTCCAGCTGCAGCCCCACGACAGCATGGAGAGCGTCCTCCGGAAGGCTCTGCACCTCTATCCTCACCTGATCACTAAGGTAGGAGAACAGAGGAGACACCGTCTCATACCGTCGGTTAAAGGTTGGACATGTGTGCATTTGCCTGCCTACAATTAGTGCATTATTCATTGTGCTCTTGTAAGGCTTATAATTGACTACGCACAGGTGTCATTTTTAAGTGGGCTGTACAAGATGATTGACAGTCCTCTACCAATTCAATAAGTCTGTTATCGTGGGTTTTTGAATGAATATGTCATGAATTGTCAAGCTTTTTAATTATCCATATGAATCTATTTCAACTTATCACTTGTATTCACTTAAATGTTAACATTCTAAATGTATTTGACACGTGAAGGCCTCCTCGTTGTGCCCCTCTGCTTCTTTCAAAGTGAAAAAGAATGAACAATCTTGAAACTGATATTTTCTTTTTCATTCTCCCTTCCAGCAACCGTTCCCCCACGAGTCCCTGCTGATAGACCGCAGGGAGCTGAAGCTGACCAAAGCGGAGAAGAAAGCAGCAAAGAAAGGTTACGAAGAGGAGAAAAGGGCGTCTGTGCCCTACACCCGCCCGTCCTACGCTCACTACTACCCTGCCAGTGACCAGAGCCTCACGAACATCCCCGCCTTCAGTCAGAGAAACTGGTTAGTGACTCACAGCTGCAACTCAAACAAAAAAAAAGATACTTCAAAGTTTTCATCGTCAACATCTGAACATGAGAACACGAGGCATGAACTGATAGAAACTCTCTACTCAGGCGTCCACCTCCTCGTTCCGAAGAGAAACCAGTCGCCAGTGTCCGGCCGGTCCAGTCAACTCCAGTTCCCACGATGCCCCGGCAGGCGTCTGCAGGCTCTGCTCCAAGCAACGACTCGTCGGAATCCAGCATCGGAGGCTTTCCTGTCAACTGCCTGGAAAAAGCCGGAGTGTTTGTCCAGAAGATCGTTACCACTTCTGGTAGGCCAACTGTACATGTGCCGGATATTATTTTTACTTGTTTGGTCTTCATCGCTTTAGTATTTTAGATTTAATCTTCATTCTTTTTTCCCAAGGATTCATCGGCTAGTCATGATATTAGCTGAGGAATAATCGACGTGTCTTCCGACTCTTCGTAAATGTGTCTTCTTTGGTCTCTTTCAGACATAGTGATTCCAGGCACCAACAGCTCAACCGATGTCCAGGCCAGGATCATTGCTGGAGAGAGCATCCACATCATCAGGGGCACCAAAGGTACAATAATGCTCGACTAAACTCATTGATACTTAACTGAATATCATGAGTTGTAGCCATATATAAAATCACAATGCTGCAAAAGCATCTTCTCTGAGATCCATCTAAGCTTCATTTAATGAAGCAGGTCAGGGTAAGCTTTCACTGGGTGCTGATCATTTCTCTCACCTTTGTCTGTTTTAGGGACTTACATCAGGTCGTCTGATGGTCGAATCTTTGCCATCAGAGCAGCTAATAAGGCCAAGACGGCAGAGGAGAGTACTAAAGCACCACCCAAAGGTAGGACTGACTGACAAGCAGAGATGTAAAAAGATGAGACACAAAACATTATTGATATTATGATATTATTTAAGCCAACCCAGCTCATTTAACGGGTTTAAATCTTTATCAGAAGGTAATATCCAACCCCTGGTTTCTTCTTCTCAGACTCAAAGGCCCTACCAGAGGAAGCGTCAACCAATGGCAGCAACGGTAGCCTGTCACCTGACAGGAAGCAGCAGCCCCGCCCTCTTTCACCTGACAGCCCGGAGATCATCAGCGAGTTGCAGCGCTACACGGGTGGCTCAGGAGCTGGCACCGCCTTAGGCTCCGGAGCTCCGCCAGAGAGGGCGGCAGAGGGCGACACGAACAAGCTGCCTTCAGCCAAACTGGCCCCGGCCAATGGCAGCAACGGGAGCGGTTTTGCTCCTGGAAATCCGAGCCACCATGATGCCTCTGTGACTAATGTGATCCAGCCCACTGTAGCTCAAGACCTGAGAACAGGCTCCAAGCGCAAAGCCTCCACCCTGTCCCTGGAGGAGCGGCCCAGTAAGCAGCCCTCTGCAGGCCAACACTCCTCAGCCCCTCTGGCCACACAGGGCTTCCCCTACACCGGGGGCTACAGCCTCCCTCCTCTGGGCCTTAACCCCGCCATTTTGGGTGGGTCACTGGGGCACCCGCTCTACATGGGGGCGGGCTCGCCTTACTTCCAGCCCCCCCAAACTCAACTGAGGGACCCCGGTTACATGTACCCAGAACTTTTCGGCTTTGGCGGAGCCAGCGCAGTCCCCACCTCTTCTTCTTCCTCCTCCTCCTCCACGACAAACACTGCGACTGCCGTCTCATCTTCCTCCTCATCTTCCTCCTCATCTTCCTCCTCATCTTCCTCCTCATCTTCGGCGCCGGTCAAAGCTGCCAGTTCAGTCCCAGGAGCCCTGCCGCCGTTCATGCTGAGCCCCAGCATGGTGGGCATGGCCGGGATGCTGCTGCCAGGCTTCCCTCTCTCTTACAGCCAGTCTCTGGCCAGCCTGTACACGGGGTCGATGCTCCCTGGTGGGCTGCCGGGTCCGGCCGCCACCCCTGGTCCAGCCGGAGCCAGCTTCCTCTCCCAGTACTCTCCCACTGCTGCCTCCAGTTCCTCCTCATCTTCTCCTTCCTCCTTCTCCCCTTCAGCACGGTTCGAGGGCCACCGGGGCCCGGTGCTGATGAACTGCAGGAACGGCAGTAGCACCAGCAGCTCGGATGATGACGACGATGTAATTGAGGTTGGGGGACAGTGACAGACGAATGACGCGGTGGTCTGAGCAAGCTTGATTCAATTTACAAACCATCAAAATGGGATGACATCCTGTTTCCCGGGAGGCAGGCTTTGAACGGCCTGCCCCGAGGCCATGAGGGAAACGGACAAAAACAATGAAAGACAATTGTCACTGAAGTGTTTCCTCTACTTGCCTTGGAGAAACAGTCAGAATGGGGATGAAGACAGACTGGACACAGCGACAAATCTTAATGATGGGTATCAGAAGATGAAACCTGAGGAAGAACAAAGAAAATAAAAATCCGAAGACTTTGGGCTTCCAAGTTACTGTCCAATACTTAGAACTGCTGAGCTCAGGCCTGCGGTGACCTCAAATGGTCACTAGTTGTAGTGTTGACGTTAGAGACTCTAGTTCTGCAGCTTTGCTAAATGTGGACTCTTCGCTTTTTTCAGCTAATAAAAAGATGACGTAGGGCGGAGTTGCTTATAAAAATTGAGTTAGCTGGTGGTAACATTTGTTAAATATCAGTAAGTGAAATGGTATTGTTTGTCAGTTGTCGAATATTGCAACTGACTATTTCTTCAAATGGTAAAAAGATCAAACAGAACTTTTAAAAAGCATTTTGATTGAACTTAATAATTCACTGCCAGGACAGGGGTATTGTATGTTTCTGTTCTTAAAGAAAAGGAAAAAGAAGAAGCGGGATCATCTTAAATAGTAGAAGAGGCGGTTGAGGATGAAGTTAAAGACAACTACTGAAACCTTGACGTTCTAATGAAAGAATGTATGCCTAATCAAATGCCTTTACACCAGGCCTTTTTCAAAAAACTCCTTCTATTTAGGCATCTGACGTGGGAAAATCTGATTTTTCTTTTCTGTATTTTATATTTACTTTTCAAAGAAAACTCATTGCCTAAAAACAGCCAGGTGAAAATGAAAAAAAACGAACTCGTAGCGGAGGAACAACCAACAGAAAATGCCTTTTTGCCTCCATCTTTCTGAATGTTAACTGTGAGAGAGGGGAGGTGAAGAGAGAGACGGGCGGTCACTGCATCTCACCCACAGTCTTACTGTAGCCTAGCGAACAGCGATGCAAAACACTCACTCAAGCCTATATACTGTTTGTGTTCGTACAACCCCTGAGGAAGTACTCTTGGTTCTGGTTACGCTTGTGTCGTTCCTGTGTCCGTATCTGTGTGTCGTGTTCTTAAGTGTTGCAAAAGGAATCGTTCAGAAATATATATATATATATATATAAACTCCTGTTGCTCGGTTTGGTTACTTGTTCTGATGACGACACGGATATTCCACCTCTGCTGTGTTGTTTTTATTTCCCTCTCTCTCTGTCTCATCTCATTTTGTGAACAGAGGTCATTGTGTTTATTTTCTTGTGTTGTTTTTTGGAGAGAGACGAGGTAGCTTTGCCAAAAGTGAGAAATGCACGAGCGCATCGGAGACCGACATCGAAGAGGATCGCGTCTTAACCACAAACCATCGTTCTGCTGTTCCAATTGATCCCCTCTGATCACACAAACCGATCGAAAGAGCTTTAAAAACCAGCTCTTCGGCTGAAAAACAAAACTCTGAACACCGTCACGTAAAGACCGATCATTTCCTGCTCTTTTTCCATGTCCTTTTTAGTTTATTTATGTAAAAAATGTAGTTCTCTTCTTTTTACAACATTTTGAATTTACCAAATGTATTTATTGACGACGGTGTATATTTATTCATTTTTATTTTTGTACAATGTTTTTCTCTATCTTGTTTATTAGTTTTATTGTCATATTACTGTCGTTACTACAGATGGAAATCCCTTCGGTTTCTTGTGGTTTTTATTCTATTTTATTTTTGACGTGACTATCTTGTGAGTATGACCCAGCACATGTGGACTTGTATGTTGACCAACCAATAAGTGCGTTACTGTGCCCATTAAAAGCCAGGGTAGCATCTGTAAGAAGGGTCGATTAATTATCATATCCCATTTGTGATTAAGTCTGATCAGCTCTCGATTATGAGAAACCTAAAAAACTAAAGAAAGGACATCAGGGATACATTGATATTAATGTGATACTGAGCTGTGAGCTTTAAACCTTTTTCATCTGTATGAGCTCCGATTCCTTCTTTGGAATAACCTGCCTGTTCACACGTTTGTTCTCAATTGGGAAGAAAATCTAAAGTATGTAATAAGATGAGCCATTTTTGTGCATGTAAACGAAGCTCATTCACAAGTAAAGGGGTCGGAAACTGAAGCAGTCCAACCACTCGTCGTCCGAGAAGAAAGAAAATACTGATATCAAGTGTTTCTCTGTCTTTATTTTCTGTGGTTCACGACCATATCTCCAGAAATGTCCGTGTGTGTCGATGGCAAAGCGAGTTTCCTCAGTGTTCAACTGTTTGGTTGTCAGCTCTGCATTTGACTGACTGCTCTTTTATTCCACAGCTTTCTACTTGAATTTACACATTTATTTATACAAATCGATTCGGTCGGATGAGTCGAGCTAACTGTTTGAATTCCATTTTTCGCCGAGGAGTAGATTAAAGCTGCTGTCTTTGAGGATTGAGGATACGACCGTGGATTACTTTTAGATCCTTTTTTTGCTTTTTGAAGTTTGTAAATAAAAAAAAAACATGTTCTAAATGATACTTTTCCTAATTTCTTTGTAACAATAGTAGTAACATGATGTAGCGCCTACCACCCCTTTGTGTCTCTCTCTCACACACACAGCAACCGAGCTCATGTAACGCTGACAACAATGAACCACTTTTACAGTCACACGACAAGAGTTTAATTTGCTCTCAACTAAAACCCTATGATGTATAAACAATAGCATATTTATGCAATCTTAACACTAATCTACAGCGTCTTGTTTTTGTCTTGAAGTATAAAAAACAACGTATCGGGCCTACCTTGTCAATTAATACAGATGCAATCTGATCCAAGAGTCAGACTTCCAGTAAATGGAGAATACAGGACATTTAAGAGAGAACATGTACTCAAGCCTGAAAAACACCTCCAGAAAACGGCTGTACTGTTTGTCTGATGTATCGTTATAGTACTTGGTGTCTTTTTCTCTGTCCTTTGCATTAATATTCTAACACCCATAATATAAAAGTCAGAATCTGGGATTCGCTCCAGATAGTGCTTTATTCTGTTTTTAAGACCACACACTGAAAATATTACTTAAAATACTAAAGTGTTTTACATGACAACCTAATATTACATTGTTTAAATAATGTTTGACATTTTTTATTCCTTTGAAAAAGAGAAGAATGTGGACACTAAATGAGCCAAAATGATAAAGGCCAATTTACTGTTTGAAATGTACAATAAATACTCTTTCAATATGATAGGAATAAAGTAAAATACATGGCCCTTTTTAAAGACAAACTGGTAATCCATACAGGTGAAAGCAATTACTAAATGAATCACCAACATTTTTTAAAAGAACTTCCTTGTTGCCTTCTGTCTTATTTATTTGCACCCATATAGATGTCAGTACATTCACTGTCATTGCTTTTCCAGTATATTTGATTATCTTCTCGTAATGTAGTAAAATCAATGGAATCTCACATTGAGGGTGAAATCTGGGATTAAATTGTACCGACCCACTTTCCACATCTTACTTTAATAAATGGTCACTCACATAGTGGAGTTTCTGTGTGTGAGACCTCCATAGACAAGTTTATTTATATAAAATTTGGATCGAATTGGGCATGAAACCAACAACCATTGTAAAAAAATACCCAAAATTCACCAGCCTTTATTTTGCAGGTTACTTGAATTTATGGCGGTTTTGGTGGCGTCATATACCCCCCACCAACAGAGGATAAAATAGATTAATGTATTGGACGCGTCGGCCTCCATTTCCAGAGAGAGATGTGAAATGTCTGAATGATAACAAGGAGTATCTTGTTTCATTTGATTAATGTCCCACAGACGGTGATGGCTTTGCAGAGACAAATGGCTGAATGTACACAGCTCACCAACTAATCTGCATGGTTATTAAAACCTGTTCTGGTTTTATGGATCTCATTTGATCTACAAATATAATGTTCCAATTTACTATCCACAATGACTCACACCCACGATCGCCTAGAACTAAGATTTGAATACAAAATTGTGCTTCCTAATAAAATATATAAGCCAGAGTATACTTAGCGTTATCAGCCACAGACGGACGTAAATCAGTCGTCAGCTGGTGGTAGTATCTCTACATTTGCGCATTCATTTTTAGAGTAGGTCTCTAAGTTATGAGTAAAGATATTGTATTTGAGTGCCTAAATTTGGGAAGTGCATAGCATGTACCATGAAGAACAATAAATATCATATCTTGGGTTTTTTTCTGTTTATATTCAGTGATACTTGTGATCTTTATCTTTGTGTTTCTGTAAACTCTGAGTGACGGTTGCTGTTCAGTCTGTGTCCTTGTCCCATGTTTTCTTGTTACAACATTTGTATGTGATTTGCCTTTTTTGTAAATGTGATGCAAGTTCCAATTGTTCAACATAAAATGAATGTGTCTGCGTTGTTTTGTGTCTTTTTCATTACGTTGTTATCAGAGTATAATTTGCCTCAGGAGAAACAAAAGGAACCACTTGTTTGGAGATGAAATGTGCAAATTACCCATTTTTAGTGAACAATACTATCAAACTAAAGTAAAAGAAACGTGTGACCTAATATCCCTTATAAATAATACAGTATTTCCACAGGAGAGGGAAGTACAACTACCACAGTGTAGAACAAGGTAATTTACGAAATAACTAACCACCAAAGATGTACATCATCCAACTATGTATTTAACTATATATCTATATCTATCTATCTATCTATCTATCTATCTATCTATCTATCTATCTATCTATCTATATATATATATATATATAGCGTCATTCGTTAAAAAACTCGGTTTCCCAGACTGCTCTGGTGTTGAAACGTCACGTGACTTGACGTTTGTTCACCGATTGTTGATGACGATGGCAGACAGCGCAGGTCAGTAGCTCAGTGGTGTTCCTTGGAGGAGGAGTGCCTGCTAAGATTAAAAAAAAGAACAACATTTTCTCCGGCGACCTGCTCTCAAAGCAGGGAAGAACTACCCAGTAAACGGATGAAGCACCGGTAGTGTGACGAACCTGTGAGCTATACGGAATTGGCGCCGGTTCAGAAACGTCTCTAACATTGTTTTTAAGGCCTGTTGCTAGCTACTGGGGATCCGCGGGCTAACCCGAGAGACACCGGGCCGAGAGAGCGCAGGGGACCGGGACACGAGCTCCATGGGCTGGGTTTAATCCACCAGGTTTTATCAAAACGAAGACGTAACCTCTCCTGCTCCACGGGGGCGGTTACAAACCAGCGTAACTCGAGGCGCTCCCAGTTTGACACCTAGCTAACATTAGCTACCTTGTGTTTACAAGCTAACTCCACACCCTCACAAGAAGTTGGTACTTAGAAGCATATTGTTCAGTTACCTGCTCGCTGGTGGTGACTTGAAACCTTGTTCTACTTGTATCTACGCGGACTGAAGGTCGGCAGCCAGGGAGCGAGATCAAAAGTTCTCCCAGCTAAAGGTTATCACGGCTTCAAGCTTCAACGTGTGTCACCTTATCTGAATAGAAGGAACAGACCTCGCCGTGTTGATTACCGAAGCTACCTTTAACCCGTTTGAACGACGGTGTCCCGGATGAAGGCTCACAGAAAAGTGTGGAATCTACTGCTGTCAGGACTTACAGGTGTCACCTGTTCTTCTTGGCATTGTTAGTCTCGCACATCCAAACATCTGCTCTTTCTGCTTTCTCGAGCCGATCTGCTCAGGAAACAGACCACAATGAATCGTTACCTGCCGGTTGCGCGGCAGCACTTTCTGGCCGCCCTCGCCAGCACCAGTGTGGTGGTGAAAAGTATAAGTGCCGTGGTGGTCCTCCTCTATCTGCTGTCATGGGTCGTCGACACTCCGTACGCGCTGGGGGTGACCCCGGGCTACCTCTTTCCACCCAACTTCTGGGTGTGGACGCTGGTGACCCACGGTGTGGTGGAGCAACACGTGTGGGGTGTGGCGGCGAACTTGGGGACGGTCATGGCCTGTGGCCGTCTGCTGGAGCCTCTGTGGGGCGCTCTGGAGCTCCTGATCTTTTTCGCGGTGGTGAACATCTCTGCGGGCCTACTGGCGGGCCTCTCCTACATGCTCACCTACGTCTCCACCTTTGACCTGGACTACCTGTTTGCGGTGCGCGTCTACGGAGCGGCCGGGTTCGTGGGAGGTGTCCTGGTGGCGCTGAAGCAGACCATGGGGGACACCACGGTGCTCAGGGTGCCACAGGTGAGGCTAACGTGTACCACAAGTCATTTCTGCTCTGCATGGATGCTGATTGGCTGCGAATAACACCAGACTAGTGAGGAGTTGAGTTGCGAATGTAAACAGCACTGGAAACCTAACCAGTAGTCATGGAGGTGTGTCCATAAACCAGCCTGTCAGATTATGGCCATTGCACATCAAAGGCACACTATGTCAGATTTGTTTTTAGTTTATATTAACATATGATTTCAAGAATATTGGAGTTTAAAGAATAGCTTTTAAAAATAAGGACAATAGAGTGAAATGTGTAAATATACACACTTACCAACAGCATACTCACTCGCTTGTTTTTGGATTTGGATAAATACAGTTTTATTTGTGCTGGAAGTCCTCGTGTGGTGAAGCCCATGATGTTTGTTCATGATTTTTGTTTCTTTCTGCTGTTCAGGTGTTGCAGTCACCCTTGAGGCTGTAGCTTTTGGTTTTGCATGAAAGCATCTAGTTATGTGTCTTTAAGCCCCTTACTAACACTTTGGTGAAAAACACCTAACAGGACACTGGAAACTACAGCCGTTAAAACAACAAGCTAATTTATATCTACTGCAGGACTTTAAAGTGTACGTTTCTTTATTTACAATGTGCCTTTTCAGTGGGATGACTTCCCAGATTCTTGAGTTGTGATTTTATGCTTGGGGAGGCATAGCGGGGTTTTTTGCTGAGGCACACATTAGCTACACATTCCTAATGTGTATCTATGAAACTACCAGCCTGCTTGTTGTGAGTTTGGATAAAACTCCTTCACTCTAATCCTCCTCATCTCAGCAGGTCAGGAAATGTACTCCATCAAAACTCTGGTAACGTTAAATATGACTCCCACCCTTGCATGCAACCAGCTATTGTTTGCCGTTCCAATTCCTGAATCTGGCTGACTTGAGTGAATTGTGGGAACAGGCAGCCACTGTGATCTGTAGACTAAATGGTAGCCGCCCCTTTTGCCTGATTACTCTGGTTCCCTGGAACTGAAAGCTGTCTCTCCCTCCCATCGTAGGTGAGACTGAAAGCAGCACCGGCTCTGGTCCTCCTCCTCCTGGCCTTGCTGCGCCTGTCCGGGCTGCTCGACAGCTGCGCTGACCTGGCTGCGTACAGCTATGGCGCCCTGTCCGGCTGGGTCTACCTGCGCTTCTACCAGAGGCACAGCCGGGGCCGCGGGGACATGTCGGACCATTTTGCTTTCGCCAGTTTCTTCCCCGAGGCGCTGCAGCCGGCCGTGGGGCTGCTGGCGGGGCTGGTCCACGCCGCCCTCGTGAAGGTGAAGGTGTGCAGGAAGATGGTGAAGAGGTACGACGTCGGGGCTCCCTCCTCCATCACCATCAGCCTGCCAGGGACCGACCCACAAGATGCAGAGAGGAGGAGGTGAGTCAGAGCAAAAAGAAAAAACACAAAATCTGCAAGAAAACTCGCTAACAAAAGCCCAGTTCTGTTCCACCCTCGACTCCGCCACGAGATGAAACAAAATCATGTTTTTATGTTAGAATAAACAAGTGGACACAATTGCCCATTGTAAAATGTTACAATTTAATTCCAATTGGCATCAAAATAAATCATACAATTTTTTTGATTCAAATAATTGAATTAGATTTCATTTAATTTGTAAATTCACTGCTCACTCTGACCCAGAGTATCTGTGTCATTAAATACATGAGGTTGGTAACAATGCCTTTTGATTGGTGTTTTATTATTCATGGTTTTATTGAACGAGTAGTCTTCAGTAGTTTTATTCTGCCCTAATGGTCGAAATGCTATTTTAGAAGCTTTGAATACTTAAAATCTTAGTAAATAATATTTTTCCAATACAATCATTGAGCATTAATATATTGTTGTTTATAAATTTATTCTTGACTTTGGGAGTCTCGCCATAAGATCCATCTAGTTTCTGTGATATCACAAAATGTTCGGCAGCAAAATAATGTTCAATTATATGAAACCATTGTCATTACAAACCCATAGAATGTCCAGAATGCATGCAAGTATCTATGAGTGAAATTAATACTTTACACACACCCATATGTTAAAATCAATACTCCAGTCAGACACAAGCAACAGAAACGGTGTCGTTTTATTTATTCAGGGAGGGGTTGCTAAGCCTCTCTGCTCTTTTTCAGTAACACTTGTCAAACTGTTCACTCATGACTCTGCTCTACAGCGCTCTCAAGCTGTCAGGTTTGTTTTACTTCCTGCTCCATTGTCTAGTAGACACACACTCAAGCTGTCATACAGATCCAGAGACACACACACAGGCCTGGGCTAACATAAACAGTCGCACATGTTAAGCAACGTCCCAGTTAGCAAACAACTATTATTACATTTTTATCCAGAAACTGGTTGAACTTGATTATGTTTGTCTGCATCGCTACTCACTGAATGAAGTTAAGGCCTCTCTGTCAATGTGAATGTGAATTTAACCTCACGTGATGATTTAAATAGTAATTGGTACTTCTCCCGTATAAATGAGATTTAATTTAATTTAATTCATTCCAAAAATGACGACATTCATTTGAAAGGTTGCCTGTATTAAATGACGTATGGGAGAAAAGTGTGTTATTTCCCTGTCTGTGATTTTCTCTTAGTCATCGTAGTTACGTGTTCAGTCCTTGTGAACATTGTCATTGTCTGCATGCTTCAGCTCTGCTGCCACATGTTTCAGAGCCGTGTAATCAGTTTGTTCTTCTTCAATTGAAAGACAAGAGACAGTTTAAGCTAGGGCTTGTAATCTTGACAAACTAGCAAGAGTATGCTACATTTTTTTTTCAAATTATCCATCTGAAAAAAAATCCCAGCTCAGTGTTACCAACTCAAGTAGCTAGCAGCAGAAGTTGCTAAATCTAGCAAGAAAGTTGGCAACACAGACTTCAGGCCTCCCTCCAAAGCCACTCCCCCAAAACTAGCATGATGAATGTAAACAATGAACATGGCTGTTCTCACAGCTCTCAAGCTAGCAGCTTGTGGAAGACTCTGGTCATGAGCAATGAGTGCACAGGCAGAGTATGTGCAGGCAGGCAGACAGACAGACTGGTAGACAGACATTCCAGTCATTACATTTGGCCCGAAGAAAATTATTGGTCGGGCTAATTACAGTCTCGTGACCAGCCGCAGGCAGCAATTATTATTATTTTTTTTATTCATTGATTGCTGTCAGGATACGAGTACCAACCCTGCCTTAAACAAAGTCAGGAAATGTGCTGGTATGGTTACACTGGTTCTACATCTGTTGTAGTATAATCTATAGAGGCACCCTCAACCAAAGCACTGAACCCTCAGAACTGCTCCAGTGGTGCTGCACTTTTGCTACCCTGTGCTCTGCACGTGTAAGGACGTTATGTTTTGTTTAGCTGATGAGGGGTTACTCACTTTAGTTGTCTCGACAGAAGTTCTCTTGTCTTTTTGTACTTGTTTCATACAGATATTGAAGCACAGCGATGCTTTTGAAGCATTAGATTACATCGCGTTTAAACAATCAAACAGGCCTCCCTTGTTGTGCAGCTGTACATCCTTCTGGGATAAATGATCCACATTTCTCTCTTCCTTTCAGACAACTGGCCCTCAAGGCTCTGAACGAGCGTCTAAAGCGCGTGGATGACCAGTCGGCCTGGCCCAGCATGGACGACGAGGAGGACGAAGACGAGGACGAGGTCAGAACCGACACACAGCTGCTCCTCCCCTCCTCCACGCCGAGACCAGCGGGGGGGCCCGTCGGCGCCTCTCTCTCCTCCACCTCCTCGATGTCGCAGAGCAGCGGAGGGCCGTCCGCAGGCGGAGCGCAACACCCGGAGTCCAGCATCATCAGCTTCGAGGACGCCCCTTCTAGATCGTAACAAATGGAACACACGTGTACAGAAACGCTCCGCTGGGTGTCACTGGCAGGTCGACTGGTGTATTCAGCGTCCCTGACTAGTGTACAAATATGCTCAGTGAGTAGGCATACGCTCGACATCGCACACGACAACACAAACGACATGTTTGACCAGTTCACACACACAACTGTGCCCTCACAAGCACTCTGTCAATGTCATCACAGAGGCCAAAGGGGCGGTAAGTGTACAGCGCTCTCAGTTGGTTATAAACGCTCGGTGTAGTTGGGCGAACTGGACACTCGTTTCTTCTCCTTCTTACTGCATACGACCGACCGACCGACCCACAAATCAACCAGAAATTCTGTCTTGCCCGGACATGCCTCGGTCCACTGCTTCATGTGTCTCTTGCTTTCTAAATAAATAACAAAATGGGTGTACAATAGTCTTTTTTGGAGCAGCCATAGTTGTTCTGCCACGAGAAGGCCGTCGGTGACGGAGACTCGTGCTGAGTTCTTGATGAAAAAGGCAGACTCTGTGCGCACCGGTTTAATCGGCGCTGAAAACACGTCTGAAAGTGACATTTGCTTTTAGTTCTTGATATTTAACCAAGTGTGTACGGGAGGAAGTATGAACACTGCAGAAGGAAAGAAGCTGCTGCGGGTCTGTCCTGCTGATAAACTGTGATACAAAATTTCAAGATTTGAAGAGGTTGCCCGGTGAAGAGAATGTTACCGGACTATTTTCATTTGCTGCCTGGTGTCTCTGGATAGAAACGAACCGTGTCCCCACTTTTTGAAAATCCCCCATTTGTCTTTCAATGGAGAACAATTCTGTATTTCTTTTTTTGTCTTCTTCTGGGTCTGTTCATGACTTAACAAAATCCAAAAAAACACACCTTTTTGTTTCTGTGCACATTAACAGCGTTCCTGCACACAGATTTGTGGATGATGCTTCTTGTTCTACGAGTTATAATGACTGTTATATTTTTTAAGGTTAATATTAAGCCTACTCCAGGAGCGTCATCCTGTACCATTTTACACTTTGGCTCTGAAATGATACACAAATCAGGAAGAGCTGTTTAATTATCTGGGTGCATGTGACGCAGAGAAGTCACCGTCATGGCTGTTAGTCATTCGGCACCATTACAGATACAGAGAAAGGTAGAGAATAGGCGCTATGTTTCCAGTTGCAGAGTCATCTTTGTATCCGTGCTCTGTCAAAGTCTGCTCTGATTTGTTGCATCTCAGACTTGTGAGGATGAATAACTGTGGACAGTGGACGCCTGCATTGATCAGTAATCGGCCTGTAAAATGTTTCCCAGTCACATCCTTTGCACTTCGTAACATCTTTCATTTCTTCACTCCCGATGCCAAGTAGCACCAGCGGTGAATCATTCTCTCTGAAGGTTGATCGGCAGCTAAATTGTTTCAAAAAGCTCCATAAATTCTACCAGTGATTCGTTTATTTTGCATCCAGTCGGATGTCGCAGTCTATTATGGTAATAAATCAAATCATTAAATTCCCACCTGTCCTCGTTGACTCAAGTCAGCCAATGCGTGATGTCAGACGTCGCAGTAACAGCGGCGACAAATTGATAAATGATTTTTTTTTTTTTTTAAACTTGTGATCTTCAGGTTGAAAATGTTTCCAAATTACAGGAGAATTTCCAAATAGTTGACTTCTGCTGCACATACTTAACGAGGAGCGTACAGCTGATGACGAGATGCTCACTGGTCTTCCCGGGACAACAGGCCCAGTGGATTATGCAGCAGGCTGTTTGTGCTCTGACAGCTGCTGTGTCTTTGTAGGTCGGCAATGCTTTTATTTCACAAACCATCTTGGGAAAAAAAAAAAAAGAAGCTGATTGATGGCCGTTGTTTTGGGGTTTCTTAGTCATTTCCTCAGCAGGTTCCTTCAGATACATTGAAAAAAAAGAGGTTAAAATCTAGAAACTACACAAAATGTTTGAATTATTGTTGGATGTTTAATTAAAATATGAAGTCATTCTGTTTTTTTCATATTTAATATTCTGATATTTGTTGTGTGAAGAAAAACCTTGTAGTTATTTGTCCCTGACTGAATTGACCTTAAATTGAAATCTAATCAAATGTAACAAAGGACAGATAATTCTGCCATCTGTCGCCCACCATCATTAACCAGCAGGAGAAACCTCTCAGAAGTAGAGCTCTGTGGTTATTCAATGTGTGCGCAAAGACCCAAGTATGTTTACAGTTTATCAACAACCGTATTTAATATCCCAGAAACGCTATGTAAGTATTGCATACACACATATGTTACATGTGTGGGAAATGGCGGAGTACGTCAAATGGAGAGAGACACTTATGAAAGTCCTGATTCCTGATCAGCTCGTGGTTTCTTTCTCTCTGAAACCTTTCAGCCCACAGGCTGCGTCCTAATGCTGGACTGCAGCTCTGGCTGACACATTTGATAATGTAGTTTTAGAGGAAGAACTCCACTAGATTGGGCTTTTTTTTGATATGCTGCCGTGTGACTCGACGTGTTGAGCTGTGAAAGGAGCGATGATGTCACCAGGTCGGTAACGAATGCTCCTGGGAAATATTAGCGGCCTGATATTCAAACTGGCAATGGCTTTAGTTTTGTCCCTGTTGATTTCCAGCCCACAGTTATGTGTTCCTTAAAATATTATGTCCGGCAAATTCAGATTCAATATGTTTAATAAGTCACTTTTCACCAGATGGAAATGTTTCATGTATAGGAAGTGATAAGCCATATTAGAGTGATGGAGTTCTGTGTGTTCTGTCCTGTGTTTCTCTTCCTCATTTCACTCTGCTCTTTTTTTTTTTTTTTTTTTTTTTTTTTTTTTTTTTTTTTTTTTTTTTACATTTAATTACATCCAGTAATTACAGATGGAGCAATCTGCGTCATCTTCATACCGTTTTAGTTGCGAGTTACTCTTCCCTCAGCTGCTGACACTTGCAGCAGTGCAGAGAACAACACACTCTAGCATGTGCAATTTGATCAGCGGGAGCTCGTAGGAATGTTGTAGTTGTGAGTCTGAGGTTGCAGATTGAGTCTGAAACCTTTCCCTCTCCATCCCTGTTCCCTCGGTTTTGTTTTCTCCTGTATTTATATTTGTTCTGACTTCAAACATCCTGACGGAGAAGAAAGGGATGAGATCACGCATCGTCGGTGTGAATAATACCAAATAACAGTTGGTGTTGACTAGGAGAGCTAAAGGCGAGGATAATAAGTGGATCACTGGGTTCGTCAGTGGACGAGCTCTTGATTACAATATGGCTCCATACGCGGTTCATAAGTGTGTCGTCCTGTACACTAATATCTTGTCACACCACAGGCAGGTTTAACTACTTTAACCCTCAGCGGGTGCTTTGTACCCAAATACTTAGATTCTTTCTGTTTGGTTTCCTGTCGAAGTGGCCGATGGATGTCCAGTTTCTCTGACCAGACTTTGTGTAAACTGGAATTATTGGAATTTTAATGTAATTGGGAGAAAGAAGGTCTCTCTGACCATTTAAAATGTTAAAGTTGATTATTTGCCAGTCCTCATTTGCAGGTATAAATAGATTACTAGCAATTATGGGAACGCTTTGTAGAAATGAGTAACGCGACGACATCAAAGTCTGCGATGGTTTAGTTTGATGATGAGCCGCAGTATGCTCACGTGTTCTAGGAGCTTGACATTTTTCAGCCAGGCAGGTAACACATTTCATGAAAATCTGTTTGTTTGGTAGAGTAGTTTATTTTGGGGTAACGCCTGTCTGGTCTCGGGCATGAAAGCGGTTTTCCTGCCCGACAATGATGGACACATTACAGATGAGACCGCTCTGTTTGTGTGTGTGTGTGTGTGTGTGTGTGTGCTGCTGGCAAAGGAGGTCATTCACTGAAATGGTTTCCTTTTTAAGGAAATAAATCATAATTTTCACTACTTTTCATTTTCCTTATCTGTCCCTACTTTTGCACCAACAGATGTTGTTCATACTAATGACCGTCTCTCTCTCTGCATTGTGGCAGTTGCACAGACTTTTCTGTTTTTAGTTTTCAGATATATTTCTTTATCTCTATATGAAATAAAAGACGATTGTATGAAATGAAAATGAGTGTTTGTCTTTGTTGCGTCCCTGCCGTGGTATTTGCTGTCCTGCTGTGGGAGTGCATGTGTCTGCATTGGACAAGCAGAACTGCGGGCTTGCAGTCATGAGTATAAAGTATTAGTAATTCTGAACAACACTAAATTACCTTGAGATTGTTCTGTCAGCTACTGATCCGATTTCCATCGGAGTTTTTAAGCCAGCATGAACAACACGTCCCTAAAGTGTTAAATGTACATCTGAACATCTGCAGTGCAATGACAACCTGCTGAGGAAGGTCATCATGTGATGTGATCAAAAGCTTGTCAACTACTGTTTCCAGGTGAGAGTATCAGCAGTCGCCGACACTAACAAAGTGTCTTTGCACAACTGATTGACATGTTTTATGTATTAATATTCTGTTGAACATGTAACGTGCTTTGTTAGAAACTGCAGGCTTTTTGCCCTCCTCTCCACAACAGGCACCAGGTGGTGGTTCACTACGCATAAATGGAGGCCTGGATGAGGACTTCCTCTTTGTCTCCAAACACCTCCACCTGGATCGAGTGCTGTTTTCCATGCTTTAGAATTTCAATATAAGTAGCAATCTATTTCTACTATGGAGATTATGATGTATTTCATGATTAATGGATCATCTTTGATCTCATTTGTTTTGTAATATGAAGTACATGTTAAGCTAATATTTTTGTGCAAATATTTGGCATGATTTAAAGGCCGACTTTATGATTTGAACTAGATGTTGTAATCTCTCTTTCTTTGTTTAGAACCGTGGCAATCAGAAGCAGTCGACTTCAAATAACTTCCTGGATTCTAAATAAACTGCTCGAGTGATTGAACCTCGTTTCCTGGTGGTTTGTGGCTCCAGTTAGAACATTACATCACTAGCATGCTTTGCCCCTGGTTCCTCTGAATGTGTTTAGTTACCTAAACTGTCCACCAGGTGGAGCAGTAAGTACAGACTCCTGGCTCACAGGCAATTACAATGAGAGAAACTTACAGCTTCAGTTTTTGGAAAAGCTGTAATTAGCTCAATTAACTCTAATTAGGGTAATAACACAATTGACTCTTTATCATGGGACCTACGGTGACTCATTTTGGACCCCGGTAATGGTTGAAGAAACTGGAATATAGTCTCTTAAATTACAAACTATTAACATTTCAACGCTTTGTCTTGGTACGTTACAACAGAATCATCTACTGTTCACTACAAACACACGTCTGATAATGTGTGTGTGTGTGTGTATATATACGTGTGTATAGCTCCACGTAAGTTACACGTTTCCAAACGGTTGACGAGCCGGTAACTGCTCCGAGCGCTCGTACACCTCGTGCCCGCGCAGGTGTGGCTCTCATGCTCGTGACCGTCACCCCTCCCCCCCCCCAGCTACGAACTACAAACCCTGGCGGCGCGCTCCCGTGAAGTAATTCATTGTATCAGATTGAGAGGAAGCAACGAGCGACTCAACTGGTCGGCGACTCTGCACCGGGAAACACCAAGAAATCCGACTGCAAGCCATATAAACTGCAGGTAAACTACTTTATGGAACACCAGACTGGTAGGAAGGGCTACTTGTCTCGTATTGTTGAGTTTAAAAGCCGACAGGGTTATTTAAAAAGTTGTCTGGAGCTCTGAGAGGCCGTGCTAGCTAATGTAAAAGCTATCGAGGTTAGCTCACGTTAGCTTTAACCTCAATGCCGCTTCCGCACTCCACACACACACTTATGCTGAGGAGAAAACTAACGTTACTGTATTCTGAGTGTCTCCTGAGACCGAAACAAATCGGTCACACTCTACCGGGGGCTGTTGGGAAACTGAAAACTTAAGTAACGCTTAAATAATGTAACCGTGAAGACTTAACCGTAAGACTGGCCTAGATATACGAGCGGAGACAATGAGGCTCTTTTACTGACCAGGCAGCTTCCCAACGGCTCAGCGTATCACTTCTTGAATGTCTGCTCGTGGTAACAGTAGTTATATGTTCATGTTGGACGCTTATTTTAGGCTGACGTGCCCACCACTATAAAGAACAAATACTACTTAATAGTACTTTTAACACCCTAACTGTATTTTCTTATTTTGTAGGTTATTAGAACATCTCAATGATCATAGAGCACATCGTTTATACTTGGTTGGTGTTTACGTTTTATTTTCTAATTTGATAATTTAAAGGTTTTGTCTTGAGCAGACTTGGCCCTGTGAGAAGTCAGAGGTGTATATAATGTGTGTGTCGGTGTTTGGTTTGGATCATTCTCACACTGCGGACACACGAGCCATCTGTTGCCTCCTGTGATGACGCCATCTTTCTGGTGACCCACCCAGTGGCTCTCTGGTTTAAAACCAGCGTGTGACTGAACACTGGGAGCTCTCACAGGCAAACACCACCGTGTCTGTGCGTTGGTTACAGTGGTTAGTGGACCAGTCGATGCACTAACCGGCCATCTAAGTGTAGAGTATCTAACCTCTTAGCTAGGGCTGATACTGACTACGGTAGAGCCCTGAAATGGCAGTAATGTACATGCTTGTCAAGCAGATACTTTTCTTGTTCAGAATAATTTATAATTTAACTGAGTTGTGAAGGTATAAATACATTTATCGGTGAATGCAATCAGACACTGTAAAGACTTATGAAATCCACATTTTATGCAAGCGGACTTGTGCAAACAGATACAGAATTTCCCATATCTAATATTTTTGGATGAGGCTAGAGTGAAATATTTTTGTAATTTTTTGACATTTTATTATTCCCAAATACAGTAGAGGGAGTGAGGCGGGTTCTTTTGCAGGTGTTACTGTCACCACTGATGCTGTTATCTAACATTATATCCTCTCCTCCAATGTATAAACGAATATGACGGTGACTGGCTGATAAGCAATTTCATGAAATGGATAATGTTTTTTGGCTTTGATTATCACACAGGTGGATCTTACTTTGTCTTAATTAGCAGTATGATTTATCTGGTTAACTTTTAAATTCAGGATCCTTGACATGTTCTTGTAGCTGTCATCTTCATAATGTAGGTTAGACAATTTGTTGCATTAAGCACCATCAAATTACCAAGCAGTCGCCACAAGAGAGATGTATTTATTTCCTACCGTATTGTTTCATTATGCGTCTTCCTTTCACAGTAATGGGTTAATTCAAAATGTTGCCGCATGCATGTCAGGTGGCAGAGGAAACCTACCTGCCAAGTTTGTGTCAGAAACTAAAATATTCATCAATCGGCAGTCGGTTAACCCTCACTAAGCCGGGGCGAATGTTCCACGCTGAAGACTGCGTGGGGGTGTTTCCTGGCACAAACTTGCACACACAGGCCTTTTGATGCAACTGTTGCCTGTGTGGGGTTTTCTAAAGGACATCCTGATGAATCATCAAGTGCACAGTAACTATTTTAATAATACATTTAAAGCTGTGTCATACAAGGAAGCAATGCAGAATGATCATCGCTTCACTTAATACCTTTTTTTTCATCGGCGACACAGAATAGTTTTGTGGTGATGATGATAAACTGGTTGTGTGGATGTATGAGTGGGCTTGACTGGCAGGTCTGCTGTCAAACATATTGGCAGCTTTAGATTGATTGAATGACAGCTTACAGGATACTGAAACATCCCCGAGGTGGACACAAGATTGAAAGACACGACCTATCAAACGTCTTTGTTTGAAAAATGAGTGACTTATTCGGTTAAGTAGCTAAGGAGAGTGGGATGAGCTGTTTTTCAGAAGGAGCACAATCAGTGCTGTTTGTGTTTGTGTGTCATGAATCAAACATTCCTGTTGGGAAAGTCAGTTGAAGTGAATCACAAAAAGACGGGAAGGATTACCCTTGCTGCCAGTTTTCGTCCTGTTTTCATTAACTGTGTTTATCTCCTCTCTGTATCTATCCTGCTGTGTTAATTTGATCCTGTTGGTTATCCCCCGTCTCTCCTCATCCGTTGTTTGCCTGTCTCTTAATTTCACCTCATGGTCTCTTGGCTAACAAGCAGGTGGGGCAGAGATCTGCACACGTAGCCCGGTGCTTATTATCAACCAGGATTCTAGTTTATCAGGGGAGTACCAAACATGCACTCGATTTGTTGTTACTGTGACCTTTTTGTATCACCCTCTGTTCACGCATTCTTTAAAAAATGTCAGTCTTTCTCTGCGCTTGCTGGCGCGTTAAGCATTGAGCCAGGATACGACTGGGTGATTTGGCCAATAAAAACAATCCCAGATGTTTTTCGGAAAGCCTATTTAAAGCAGTGGGACAAAAGAAAACACAATGGTAATGTCAGACATTTGTGGCATGAGACAAGAGTTCAGGCAGTTCACAGTTCAGACACAACAGTCTCCATTGCTAATGGAGATTTTCCTGTGGTGTTGCCTTTTTATGCTTTGTTTTCATTGTGCCCCTGTTAAGTGTTTCCTGCATTTTTAAGCCAGGAAAAGGTTTAGATACTGTTGTTATTTATAGATAGTTATAGTCTGATAGTGTCATTGATGTTGAATGAATAATTGGTGGCTTTAATGAATTGCTTTTAGGTACCTAGACATCCTTTGTTGAAAGGAGGGCACATTGTTATTTACCCGTTCACCCGCTGGTCAAACGTTTCAAGCATTGACCGTCCAGAATACAGTCACCTCCAGGCTACAGCCGCCCCCATTTTTGTCTTTTCCTTTTTCCCCGAAGTCATGGAGTGAACAGTCTAATGTTTTTTGACACTGCTGTCCTACTTAGAGTATTCAGCCATCATTTATAGAATGCATGCAGCACCTCACTGTGCGTTTCAGGGTCAGAACCTAATGGGGCAACGAAGGCTGAAATTTCAACTCAATTTCAACAGGGAGCAAAAAATGACAAGCATTAGATTGATTTTGTCTGTATTATAATCAACTCTTATAGTTGTCTTACTGTAACATGTGAATGCAAATAGTGTGCCCAAAGGTCCACAGCAGGTGAACATGTTACTGTCCAGATGTGGTTTAAAAAAGGGCTCGTTTTTTTCCATCAGAAAATTACTGAATATGCAGACAGAAGATGACGAAAAATGAGGCAGCGCACAGTTCACAGTTGCTGGAAATGGCAGTTGCTTAAAACTGCTGTATGGCCAAAAAAGGGGGCGGAAATTCAAGGAGAAGTGAGACAGACAGAGGCTATCTTCTCATGCAAAGCACATTCAAGATTTAAACAAATTTTAGCAGTGCACTTTTTTTTTCTTTTCTTTTTTTTAACAGAAGCATGCTTTTAATCAAAACCCCTGTTATCCCAGGTATCTGGTCAAAGGGAAAAAAGTGACAGGGAAGGGAATTGAACCAGAAATGCTGCAGTTCAGCTGATGAATCCTGAACGCATAGGAGAGGTGTCGGTAGTTTTCCCTCTATCATCCATACAGCTGACTCACTGTGATGGCGACAGCAGAAAGGTAGAGAAATGTGATCGACACCGCACAGTGCTGCTCCACAGATGGAGGAGGAAATAACCTGTCTGGGATATGATGTATTATCCTCTCTATATGGGGTCCGGTTGTCCTTGTGCAGTTAGTAAGTACACAGTACATGTACTGTGTTGGTGTAAAAGTTGTCTCCGCGGCAGTGCCACCTTGACCGATGAGGTCATTTGATGTGCACTTGGTGAAGTGGCCTTTTGCACACAGTTCCTGTTCAAGTACGAAAGGAAATTTCTGTTTCCTGTTTCGTGTTGTGGTCACACTCTGTTGTCGGCGAAATGTGATCGTAATTCTTGTAATTATACAGCGGAGTGAGTTGAATGCGTTTGACTTTCTGTGAAATGGCATTTCCCAATATGGAGTGATCCAAGATGCTCTCAGCCAATGACACGAGGCTGCATGACACTCATTTGCCCCAACTTCCCTTAACTCCATTGGGCAAGCTCGTCCTCTCACACCACCACTGACGCGTCCGTTTGGGTCTGTTGCTGGCATGAGTTACTGGAACCTCGGCTAACTTTTACTTCCTAGTAGCCCTTGTGCCGTAATGACACCTTTGTGTTGACACCTGTATGTTGTGTAAGGATGGGAGAGGAACCTGCAGTACACAGACATTTAATCTTAACGCAGCACCAGGAGGACCTTATGATTTGTGATTACTTTATTTGAATGAATGGTGTGTGGGATGTTTCTTCACAAAACGTAAGGTCGTGACTCATTTATCTTGATCCGGATACGCATGAGACGAAATTCTCACATCGTCCCATGCTTAAGCCAGTCAGTCTTTAGCTTAATATGCAGCTGTTCTGCAGGATGTTTGATTGATTTAATGTTGAACATAAATCACAAATATGAATTATTTTTTTTTATTCCATTAATCATCTCACAACCCCCTTTGAAACAGAACATTAAGTTGAGAGCCTCATTTTTTTTTTTTTTTTCTTTCTTTTTTCCAGCTCTGTGGTTAAATGTGTGAAGTGTAGTGTTGCATGGTGCACCTGCACTAAGCATTGTGTTGCACGTTATTATCTTCGCCAGAAGGATCATGCGATTGGTCGTGTATGTGTGTGGGTCCTTGACTGAGAGTGACTGAGTGAGTCTGTGTATCCGTGAGAGTGTGCACCTCTGTACAGCAATGGACATAATTTAATACATTAGTTGTTAGCTCCAGTGCAGCCAACGGTACTAACTCTCATCCTGCTGATTTCAACTTGGATTTGTTGTTCACAATGTAGCACTATCGGGGATCTGCTACTAGAAAGCAGTGCTGTCGATCTCCCGACTGCATTTTTTTTTCTACTTAAGATCAGCCGATGGCTCTGCTGTAACAGTTGCACTTCTGATTATTTTCACGTGATGTGTGTTGATCATAACCTCCTCTGTCTTCCTCCAGGGATGGCAGCCATCCGTAAGAAGCTGGTGATCGTGGGGGATGGAGCTTGTGGTAAGACCTGCCTTCTGATCGTCTTCAGCAAGGACCAGTTCCCCGAGGTCTACGTCCCCACTGTGTTCGAGAACTACGTAGCCGACATAGAGGTGGATGGCAAACAGGTGAGGCGATTACAGTGATTCTGTGTCGGTAGTATCCATCGGTTCTTTTATTTGTTGTTTTGGCTTCCATCATATTATTTGTTGTTTATTGTTTTGCTGTAATTAGTTGCTTTGGTTTCTGTAAAAAAAAAAAATGTATGTTAATCTTTTTCATATGAATATACTTTTCATAAACTTTATGTTTATACTTTTTTTTTTTATTGACACTATTGGCCAGTCTACTTGGTTTCTCTAACTGTCACAACACATGGCTGCCTCCTTTAGTCTGCATGTTTTTTGTGCTACACTGGCTGCTTCATCATGCCTCATGCTTTCATTCTACCCTCAGGGTTAAGTGAGCAAGTGTTGATAAAACCACACTGTTCCATTTTCACATCTTCAATCACATTGCAGCCGTCATCTGCTCAGTCTAGTCTGAAGCCTTCGAATTTATTGTCTAAATATTTGTAGGTGTGTGTGTGTGGCTCATCTTTTAGGTGTTTTAGACTGTGTTTAATCTAAAATGCCGTCAACTGACTCAATCTAGCCAGGTGTCTTGTTGTTGACTTTATTGCAGAGCAAAACATACACGTCCTATGTGGATACAGATGGACAAATTGATGATGGCGTTCATTCCTGATTTACGAAAACCTTTCATACCCCCCAGAACCGGCTCATTGTACGCTTAGGACTGTCTTCCACACTTTGTACAAATTCACTGTAACTAGAAGGATATATTCTCCTTGTGTGTGTGTGTGTGTGTGTGTGTGTGTGTGTGTGTGTGTGTGTTGAGCCATTCTGGATAACTGCAGCACCCAGCCTAACTGATCAGTCATACACCCACTTGTCCTGACCTCATTCTGGGTTAATGGGATTGTGGGACGTTGCGTCTTTATTGGCTGTTTGATTTCTAACCTTCTGTGTGCTGCTGAGGAGGACTCAGTCTATTTCTTGTCAAGTGTCACACTTTTTTCCAAATATGGTTTCTGTTCCCGATTTAGCTTTACAGTCTGCTCGCTCAGAGAGGCTTTTATATGTCACTGTCACATTTTGTCCTGTTCGGGCCTCGTTAGGAATGAATAAAATACAGAATTGGTGTGCGGTGGTTGTTTTTAAATTAGACACTTGTAATAAATGTCTCGGATTTTTTTTTTTTTTTTGAAGGTAGTGGGTCATATGTGTCAGTTAACTAGAATAAAATCATATATCTGTTTTGAAAAAACACTTTTTATTAACATTTTACGAGCATTACCGAGACATTTTAATTGCTTTCCTTCTTCTACTCATAATTATTTTTACTATTATGATGTATTAATTTGTTCCCGCGGAATAACAAAATGGATCTATCCCTTTTATCGTTGTGGTCAGCATGAGGTTTATTATCTCATTTATTTGCCGACTTCAGTGTGAAAGTTGTGCCGATCAGGACGGACACGGTGTATTAACTTCTCTCCCTCCCTCTTGTTCTTCCTCGTCTCCTTCCCTTCACCCTCGGTGTGTGTGTGTCAGGTGGAGTTGGCGCTCTGGGATACTGCGGGTCAGGAGGACTACGACAGACTGAGACCTCTCTCCTATCCAGACACTGACGTCATCCTCATGTGCTTCTCTATAGACAGCCCCGACAGCTTGGGTGAGTACAAACCACACACACACTGACACATCTACACGAACCTGAGACCGATGGTGTGTCATGCTGTGGCCGGCAGCCCTGCTGTAAAACAACAAGTTGTGCCTTTTCTGTCATAATTACGAATTCTGTGATCACATGGAAATGGATTTGCATAAAATGAGGCGATAAAAGCTGCAGATAATTAAAGTGCCAGGCATGAATGATACCGAGAGGAAGTTACAGATGTAACAGAACAAAGGCTTATTGTGCTGAAGCTTGTATTTTCAGTTTTTTGTCTTCAGAAGCAGAATCATTTTTGCACTGACTCACGTTTTAAATTAAATCTCTTTTGTATATTTTGGTCTCATCAAATGCCGGCTTCCTGTGATTTAACTTTAACGCATTTAAAGATACGGGTAATTGCTGTGCCATCAAATATCTTTTATGCAAGGGTTTCATTGTCAGTTCTTCAATGTGTGCTGCAAGAGGTTGTGGGATTCTTTAAGTAGTTTTTAGCATTTCCTGTGTTTTGAGTGAGACATACTCAGACAGGCACAAGAAAGTACACACAGTACTAGAAATGTGTTTTATAGTTCTGTCACTTTTCCCTTTTAATTGAGCTTTTCTGGCCTCCTGTCACTAGAAAGTTTATCCCACAGCTGGAAAAAAATAGATAAAATAAAGATCCATCACCTCTATTGGGAATGTTAGTGTGACAACCAAAGTTCCCTCAGACATGCACACAGAAAATCAAATGGCCAATGATTATTTCTTTATTGCTTCCTCATCTGTTTTTGTTTTCCGTCACAGAAAACATTCCAGAGAAGTGGACCCCAGAGGTGAAACACTTCTGTCCCAACGTTCCCATCATCCTGGTTGGAAACAAGAAAGACCTGCGCAACGATGAGCACACACGTCGAGAGCTGGCCAAGATGAAACAGGTACTTTAATGTCTGCTTCTCATTACTATTGTGTATTAAATACAGATACGTTAACATTTTCAACAGCTGTACTTTCTAGACTTGATGAAGGGTTTTCCTAAACCAACTCCCTGGTTTTCTGTTCATCCAACAGGAGCCAGTGAAGTCAGAGGAGGGCCGGGACATGGCCGGCAGAATTGCGGCCTTCGGTTACATGGAGTGCTCCGCTAAGACCAAGGACGGCGTGCGGGAGGTGTTCGAGATGGCCACCAGGGCGGCACTGCAGGCCCGCCGCGGAAAGAAGAGCAATAAATGTGTCGTGCTGTAAAACGGCTGACATATGTGGACTGTTTTCACCCTGGGCTTCTGAACCCAGCAGCTAGGGCTTTGGGAGGGACGGAGGTATTACTAGATGGGGGGGGGGGAACGAGTGCAGTAAATGACTACCGCTGTAAAATGGCTGTTTGTTGGACTGAATTTAGCCTGGGACTTGAGTTTGGTGGAGAGGAACGGGTGGGTCGGGGGGGATGACTACCGCTGTAAACCATCGGGCTCTTTATCGGTTTACCATCAAGTTGGGACATTTACACCAGCCACCAGCTGAGTGCTGGGACATTAATTCTTTTCATCAAGCCACTTACACTGATACAGACCAGATCCTGGTCTAGCTGACCAGTAAAGTTGATTAAGTTGCTGTTTAATTATTGGATGGTCCAGACTGTGTTCAGTATGGACAACAACAAAAAAAATGTTTGGTTTTCCTGCCTGGATGACTTGACAGATTGATGGGAGCAAACAGACAGTAAATGAGTACCACTGTACGGGGCCACCAGCCGACGATTTAAACCCGGAAGTAGAGCTGCGATCCATGTGGAGTTAGACAGGTGAAGGGATGGGAAGACTGAAGCGCGGGTGGGACCATGATGAGGCCGTAAACACCAAACCTTGCAGCTTGCAGTTTTCATATGCCGGGCGGGTTATTTGAATGCCCCAAAAAGTAGACAAATCACCAGTAAACTGTATTAATCTACTGCTCCTCAAAATGGGGATTCAACCAAGGTTGAGGTTGATGAGCTTACAGTTCAGTTTGTAAAATTAGGCATTTAAAAAATAGTTTGTTCTGTTCGCGTTGTTTTAGCCACAGTGTTGGTAAGCAAGCGGCCACGTGATGTCAGGTGCTCCGGTCTAATGCGTCGTATCATCAGAGCGGCGGGGAGCTTCATGCTCGCATGTCCAGCTCGGTGCCATTCGTCTCTCACTGCAGCTAATCCTGAGCTCACAGTGACAAACATGTCGAGCAGAGCTCTCGCTGAACTGCAGCTCGTGCACAGTTTGAATCAAGAGAAAGTTTCCCTCAGCGCTGGTTGTAAAGTAGAGCTTCTTCCTGTGCATCCTCGCATGATCTGTCATTCAAGTGGCTCTCATGAAGCTTACTCTCTTCCAGAGGAGCAGCTTCGGGGCTGGACATTAGGACCCACTAGCTGGTGAATGTTTACTGAGGCTGGTTTGTCTACTTTAGGAGGTGATCAGCTGATCACTAAACGCTCTTCAGACCGTATCAGTGGAAGTGGCAGGTGAATTGCGGTCCCACTGGATGACAACGGTAGTTTTCTGCCCTACATAGTACAAGCTGCTCCGCTCCCATCCCTCCCTGATCCACATCGCTGACTGCTGGTGCTCATCTTCCTCTGGTTTTTAAACCAGGACAAAGAACACGGAGAGGAGAGTATTGTGTTTACAAGCACACCCACACTGATCTCCTTATAACGACTATTCTCTTTTTTTATTTTTTTTTTTGTGTGTAGGCATGAATAAAGTTCAAGTGTACAATTATCCACAACTAGTTCATGTTTGATCAAAAGAAGGTGCCTGGGATATACCACGTTATCCACCACATATACATGTTTCACCGGTTAACTATGTTTGCTTGAACAGTTCAACTTAAAAAGACAAACGTGACACTTTTCATATCCAGAAAACTCTGCATGGAAATGCCAGAATTGTCAGGTTGGGCTGCCGGATATATTTTTGGGGTAAAACGTGCTGGTGATCTTCGTCACTAACTAGCAGGGTGAGAATTAACCACCTGCCTTGTGTATGTAATTTTCATTTTGGGGTATTTTTTAAGGTCTTTCCCATTCCTTTAATGGTAACGGGGGCCAGTCATATTTTGGATTTATCCTCGGCCAGCCTTCCCTGACTTTTCTGCGTGTTTTACTGGCAGATGATTCCGGCTCTCTTTACGGCGTTGAACCCTCCTGTTCTTCTTCCTGGCCTACAGGGAGGACCCTGTTCCAGGAACTTGGTCTTGTGTTGTTTTTATACTTTATTTCCTGCTTTTAAGAAAAGAAAAAAAAGTCATAAATATGTTGTCAGTATTTAAAATAGGGGGTGGAAGACTATGGGACTGCTTATGTGTCGTCGCTTTAGTTAATTCTTCTTCCGTGCTTTACCTGAATTCTTCTGGTGATTGACAGTTGGTTGTACGGACCTGTCAATCATCATCCCTGCCAAATGCTGTTGTTGGGCAGTCAGGAGAAAAGCTGGCCTCGGCTGCCTGTCTGGAGCATCGCCGGCTCTTCTCGTTATGAAAACAAACTTGGCTGAAAAGACAAAAGGAAAAACAATAAGTCTCCTTATGTACAAATCATTTTTATTTACACTTTTATTGTATTTTTAGATCCTAATTTTGGATGCTGATGCCGTGATGTAAACCCAGGAACAGGAAAACCAAGCTGTATGCAAAGTCTGTAAATATAAAACGTGGGTTTGTTCATACTAGAATACACACACGCACAGGACTGGAAACTGTATTTGTAAACTAGCTTTGGTTTGTGTAATAAATTACTTTCTATAACACACAGCTCCTACTCATTGTGGTCTTGGCGGGCGGGCGGGCGGGGGGGAGGGGGAGAAAGAGCCATTTAGTTCAAGCAATACAGATGAATGTATGGTGATGGATTAGTCTTCAGGAAGTGCTGCGTTTATTTCTCTCCAGATGGAACATGACGCATTGGTCCCACATAAACTGACAAAATATGAAGAATTATATTAAAGGGTTCAGAGGAAGGAAAATGTAATTCAGAGACTCATCACTTTTGCAAGCACAAATTAAATACTTTAAATTCCGATGGTGATCTTTTTCTTTTCAAAGAGACTTTTGGATTCGGTCACCTTAACTCATCTGTGCTTGACACTTTAAATTTAGGAATGATCACAGAGTGAGATTTATGTAAGAAACGCGAACCAGTCAAGTAACTGCATTTTAATTGGTGCTCAAAGACGGCACACATTTTCAAGATAATGCATTTGTGATCACGGGTTATTTTGGACACTTTATAGCAGCACACATAGGTAATAGTTTACTAGTGATGCCTGTCGTGGTGGGTTTTAACTCTTTCTGGTGCAGATCATTGCAACAAAGTCCCTTAGCAGCCCTTTTTGATTGGATGAGACTTGACGCAGAGCCTCATCTCATAAACCAGGGCCAAAAAATGTGATGACACACCCAATGTCATCCAAATCCCCCCAATATCACTGAGTTTAACATCTATATTTCAGCTAAATAATTCAAGCATTATCACTACGAGCTTCTTTAAAGGCCACTGCTCCATAGTGTGGAGCTACTCTCGACTTAATGTTACTCTGTGTTTCACCGCACCACAAATAAACCCTGCAATAGTCTGATCGCAAAATACAAATGAGCTAAACGTATTGTAGCTCATCATGAATGGAAATCCAATGTGTCATTCTCTCCGGCTTTAAAGGAATTGGCCTTTTGTTTCCTCAATCACCACAGATGAAGCTTTGTTAAAAAAACAAACAAACAATAGCTGTCATTAGGAGATGAGTGCTGGTTGAGGAGCAGAAAGCAACACCGCACCAGTCGTAGATGTGCCAGCAGCTTCCCTCTCGAGGCTGCGGAGAGAACAGAGTGTGTGGGATGCCGAGGTGAGGCCTGTGTGGGCTGATGCTGGATGTTGTGGAGTAACATCGAGAAGCTTCGAAGCGTGTGCGGAGAGTGTGTAGCTGCTCTGTGACCAACAAGGAAACACAGTAGTTGTGTAAGGCAGAGCGGAGGAGTGGAAATCCAGGAATAAATTGGATGTACGAGCAGGATGGCGCTCACAAGGAGCACTTACACTAACCTTTTCATATAGAAACGTATATATAACATAGATATTTGGCCTCACAAGCAGTTCGCAACATCACTTTGAGAAACGTCTCCGCCATCGTACAAGCATAAACTATAGGGAGTAATTTAGAACTGAGGGTGAAAACTTGGTAATTATAGCAATATTCCAAATAGAACATCCACAGATGAGGTTTGTGAACTTCTTTCTAAAAAGTTATGGTGTTTGGACGACTTCCAACTATACGTTTCCTACATTCCTGGCTTTCCTGCAGTTATCCCTTTCCATTCCAAAGGGACCTATGGTGATACAGGAGACTTGTGTGGTATGCTCAGAGGAAGAGGAGGAGGAATAAACAGGTATAGAAAATGGATGGATAGTAGGAGGCCTCCATGGATTGTAAGAGGTGTAGTATAGTGGGCGGATGTGAGAGGGAACAAGAAGTCAGCCTGTGCCTCTCTGAGTGAAAATGACTCTCGCGTTACCAAACTTACTGTGAAACACTTCGCCACCAGCCTACTGGCCACTAAGCTGCATTCTACTGCACATTGTTAACTCTCCATCCAACGGGAAATCTGATTTCTTTACAGCATAAAACAGGCCGTTGATCCTCCATATGATTATTTATCTTCTCTAGTAAAGCTAAAGCGATAACAGCAAGCATGGTGTAAGAAGTATTCTGATCCTTTACTGAAGTAAAAGTAGCAACACCACACTGTGCAAATACTCCACTACAGGTACAAGTCCTGCATTCAGTAGCCTATTTTGCAGAGATATGGCCCCCAGCAGTGTTTTATATGTTATTTATATATATATATATATATATATATATATATATATGATGTTTTTGGTTTACTGCTACATTAAAGTATATGTTGCATTTTATATTTTATTCATAATCACCAAATGTGGAGACACGTGGTTTTCACTGGACAGGAATGGTTTGAAAATATGTAATCTGAACAGTAACCAGCAACTAAAGCTGTGAGATAAATGTAGTGGAGTAAATAAGTTGTATAAAACAGCAAAAAAGTAAAGTACAAGTACCTTATATTTGTACTCAAGTACAGTACTTGTATAATGTACTGTTACATCCCACTGCCGGCCATGGTGTATTTCAGTGGTTTCATCAGCCACTTGAAAAACAGCACACACCCAAATGGTGTCACAACACATCACAGACAGATGCTGCATGCTTTCTACACTTCTGCCTAGTTAATGATACGAACACTTCAACATAATGTGCAGCCATGTTGGACAAACGCACCTCTGGGTTTTGGTGATGAGTATTAAACAAAAGAGGCATCCTGTTGGAACCACAGTGGTTTACCTCAATCCCAGCTATTGTATTTAGAGTTATTCATCACTATTGAACAACGTCTACTCTCCACTCTACTCGGGGAAATGACTGTGGCTTTCTATAGAGACATTTAGCATGAAACCAGCGTCAAAGGGGAAGGAAGGAAGTTCGTCACTGCCTGCTCCACCCGAAGCTGGTGGCCGGGCATCATGTGAGAGACACGGCGCGGCATCTGGTGCAACACTTGCGGGGGAATGAGCTGGAGAGAAGCTGTGGAGGGGGACGCGCCTGCTCTCTGTTTCCTTCTCTCCGTGTCTCTCCTTCTCTCCGTGTCTCACCCTCTCTCTCTCTCAGCTCCTCCGTCTGCTGGCCGGAGAGCAATAGCGCGCGTTGGAGCTCAACCGCCGGCTTTATATACCGCTCTATTTTTAGCCCCTCGCGAGCCCAACTATTTTTAACCAATATGAGCTCATCACCCGCCCGACTCATCCAATGGGATGAGAGGCAGAAGAAGTGGGGGGCTGAGCAAGATGATAGAGGCGGCGGGTTACACAAGAGCCTATCATGTGCAGTGAAACAGGCACGAGGGAGGGAAAGGTGAGCGAGCTCTCACTCTGCCGCTTTGCAGGGCACCACGTGCCAGAGTCCTGGCTGTTTTCAAGCTAATAGTTGCTCAAGCCTAAGCTAGATAATACATTATCTCTGATAGTTATCTAATATTAGGGCTTTCTGGTCATTTTGAGAGAAACAAACATGTTCTGGCTACTAACAATTAAGCACTTTGTCATTTCAATAATAAAAAACACTTAATTGATGACATTAAACAGCAAATATCATATTCTGCCAATGCCAAGCTGTGGTCCTTCCCTCTAGGTGTCTGTGCCTCAGAGATCTGTCTCACTGCTTGCCTGGTCCTATTTTCAGGGTTCTCTCCATCGAAGTGTGAAATACACGGCTGAGTGCGACATGAAGGGCGACCGGTCCACAGGCACCTACCAATGCTGCTATATCAGAGTCAGAATCAGCTTTAATGGCTATGTGAACACGTTTAACTTGTGTTTATTTATTGCTCTCAATGTACACAGAAACATATATATATATATATATATATATATATATATATATATATAATTTATTGACAATATATGATGATATGTCCATGTTAAAACACAGTGCATTTACATGTAGTGGATGTTAACTATTCATCAACATGACGGTGTGTGGGAAATCTGTTTTTGGTCCCACTAGTGTCCACCCAACTTCAGAGGGAGTTTGGGATGCCCCCTCAATCAGGAAGTATTGGAGTCCACAGATCTGTTGGTTTATGTTTGCTGCTGCTGCATTGAGGGTGAGAGTGAGGCTTATTTCTTCTACTTTGCTATTCATCTCTCAATTAGACGATCTTTGGTGATGACTTTGGACTGATGGGACTGGCCCTGCTGTCTGAGGCATATTATTTTGTTATGACTCTGGAGCAAGGCTATGGAAAGGATTGCCCCATGATAGTGAGTCACGCATCCACCCACCTATTCTGTTGTTTCCAAAAGTTTATTTTTAGGCTGTCCGCACCGAAACACAACGCCCAGTGACCCATCTGCCACGGTTCCTCTGGTGGGACAATTTTATACTCTCCATGACACATATTAATACCCCCCCCCCCCCCCCCCCCCCCGCAAAAAACAACAACGAGTTGCCCACAAAATCACCTCTTATTTAATTTCTCACCCTACTGAGACTACTCAGCCACAGTGCTGTTTATATTCGACAGTAGGTTGACGACTGTCTAAGGTTCATCTTCATGCGCGCTCCTGACAGCCGCGCCCCCACACAAAAGGTTCCAACACATCACGACGGGAGCGCGCAGGACGATCAGCCGACCCACCACTCCCTACGAAACACTCCACCCTCTCAGGAACACACTCACGTCTGTTAAAGAATTTAAATGCAAACGACTCTCTGGGATTAAACCTAATTGGCCACTGTAATCAGATATCACAGCAAAGGCATACAGTATAATTGACTACTACTAAAACTGTGGGAATACTACCTACATAATAACTAAGTGAAGCCCACTTATCTATGGTATAATTGTAATAAGAACAACATGGAAATTCATCTTTGTGCAAGTGTGCTGGAATTTAATATGTAATGTTACAAATGTGGGCAAGAATATCATACATTATATAGAATTGTTTGGAAAATTAGACCCTCTAAATGTCTTTCTCACCAGCATCTCTCTTAAAACTTAGTTTTGGTCTGTGCGATTCACAGCAGATAGGGAGCCAGAAGACGGTCGTGTGAAGAATGTATTAGGCTGAACATCCGCATTTAGATTTAGTTCAATATTTCCCTCACGGTTTTTTTTGTCTCCAGAAAAATAGTAAAAAATAATGCCTGCAGGATCTCAAGACCACCTAAAGGCATGTACACATTCAAGAGCTATTTATTTTCTGTAAGCTTAGTTTTAAATGTCTTTAACATAGTCTGAATCAGACTATGTTAAAGACATTTAAAAATACACATGTATTGTCTGAACCATATTTAATACATGTGTCCTCTCTCACAGTATACTGAATTGACCCAGTCACACACTGGCCTCTAGTGATATAACGCTGTTATTACATCTCTTGTGCAGATATATAACAGTTGCTTCTCCTCCTCTGGGACGCTGCAACAGTTTTAGTTTGACAGGTTCGTTGTTGGTACATGTTTGGTTCACTTTGGGCGTGCAGAAATACTCAAAAAAAAAAGATGACAAACCAAGTCTCGTTAGAAGTTCACTCTCCCCGAGATTCTCGCGGGAATTCAGTGTCTCCGAAACGCGAGATCCCAATTATCCCGTAAGATGGCAGCACAGTCCCACCTGTGTGAGGTGAGTTATTACCGTACCGTTTATTCAGTCAGAGACCACGATCCATAGACATATTTGGGTAAGGTTTTAAACTTTTTTATGTTAGATTTAAACTTGGTAATCTTATTTAATCTCATTGTGCATTTGTTTGTTTTACTATAACATTCAAAAATATCTTAAATACAAAGGACACTTAGACACACCTGTTACTAGCTTACAGTATTAGCCTCGCCGAGACCCACCACCTAACCCCAAGAATGACTATTTCATATTTTCTTTTAAATAACTGTCATATGTGTGCTGTAACTGTTGTGTCAGTTAGATGGGATCTTTATTAAACAGGGTAAAACTGGTTTAGAACAAATAATACTAACTTTAACATCACTTCACCTGTTTCTTCATTGCTGTCCGTAAAAGAAGACAACAAGTTGCTTTCACTCTCATCTCTAATAATAAAAAAAGACCCGTTTAATGTATTTATTTGATATTTTAAGTGACCAAGTTGGGAGAGGGGTTCAAGCTAAAATCACCTATGAACCCCACTGTAATGGGCCCCTGTAATATAAAACCGTCTTAAAGCACCCTCACTTACAGTATGTTTCTAAAAACAGCTGAGTTGATCCTTTTTTTTGTCTTCTTACCACTTACACCAACCACGACTATCATATACACTGTGAATTAATGACATTAGGGTTCATATCAGCCTGAAAAGGGGGCGCAAACCTCATGAAAGTAAGCATACAGAACAACACGATGACAATGAGATCTCATTAAAATGATGCATTCTCACTCAACCCACGAAACACAGGGAATGCGCATGAGTTAATGGACGTGTGTGTGTGTGTTTGTGTGTGAGAGTGTCTATGTGATTTGTGGAGGATGGCAGCGGTGAGATCTGAGGCCAGTAATGATCCAGAGCTCATTCGCTAATGCACTAATTGACGTCCCTTGTCAGAGAGAAATCAGAAGCTTTTTGTTTAGCTGGGAGGCCATTCGTTGTGATTAACACACTCACTGATCAGGTCAGATTGATGAAGAGCTTGTAATTGTCCCGTATCCATGACCCGAGAGTTTAGGAGGTCCTCGTGAGTCTGTTTCATGTCGGGGAGCTTAAAGTGAGGAAGGTGAAAGTGACCATTACGAGTCTTTTCAATCTGTTCTCCTCAGATGTGATGCACTGGCGACTTCAGCAACAGGAGCCCCCTTTTGTTTTGTTGCCCATAGATCCGACCGCCACAGAGAATGATCTGCTTCTAGTTCTCTTTCTGTTTGGCTCTAAATGGCTGACAGGCCTTAAGGCGAGCTGTATGAGATCCACTACTGAAGTCTCTTGTTGCTAGAAACCATGAGACTATAAAACATGGAGCAAGAGTCAGTGGATTGTGACTCCTTCACTCACGTGTTCAAGTGATGACCGGTGCGTCCACAGTTTCCTGTTTAGCTATTGCAGTAGTGTTATTGCGAAATGTCAAACTTAAACTTAACACTTTTTAACCTTTGGACTTTACTAGCCCAGTTTTTCAAATTTGTGGAATTTCAACAGAAAGGCAAACTTGAACATTAAATAATTTGAACATTTCTCAGTCTCTCACACTGTATTTTGTGGATCTTTGACGGGAAAGGGCAGCACATCCTCAGAGTAACGTCTCAGAGTAATCTGCATCAGAATACCTTAAATGTCCATTTTTCTAACTGCATTAACACCAATTGAATAAACACAATTGTATGTTCCCTGTTTGTCTTCTTGTCACATACAGGGATGTCATCAACTGAAAATAAAAGTGAACAATGTCACAGTACTGTCTGCACCATTTGATTGACAGTCAATCCTGAGATCAAGATGATGGCCACAATAGAAACACCCCCTCCATGAGAGGTAAGCAGTAAAAAACAATGTTATTACTACTAATGATGATGATAATATATATGGATGTGTTGTTCATTTTGTCCGTAGGGATTTAGGGAATGATGCAGTTGTGTTGAGCTGCAGAGCATCACTTTGTCCGATTATATGAGCGACAGAAACATTTACTGTTAATCTTCGTTAGCATCTGGCTCAGGGCCCCTCCAGCAGGGCACAGTGCCATCACTGGAGTCAGTCTGTATAACACAAGAGGCAACTTCTTCTTCTTCTTCTTCTTCTGTTAAATAATTGGATAACTTCACGAACAAGCGGTTTGATCAGATTTGCCCTCATCCAATTAAAAGCTGCGTGAGGATGTGTACACACCAGGTTACAGAACTTCTAATGATATAATTAAACTGCTGCGTGAAACTTGAAAAAGAAAAAAAATCTCTCCTCATTATATACGATGTACAACAGCAAACAAGTCTGGAGCGTGAATCATTTAGGAATCAGAAATCCTTGGAGAGAGTGTATACTTGTTAGTTTGCCGCAACCTAAATTCATTATTTATCCCAGAGAATGAATAAATTGTTTCGGTTAGCCTGTTATTGAACCTGAAGCTGGTGAAAGATCCAGCCTGCGCTGCCGTACCCCAGCGAGCAGCTATCTAATGAAAATAACACAGCAAGAACCAAGGCACAAGCTCTAATGATTGCATTTGGGTTGAGAGTGGAAGCCGGGAAAATAACGAGAAAGAGGAAAGAGGCCGAGGCACTGAAGAAGTGAAGGAGAAGATTTGTTTTGGAATTGATTTTTTATGATCTCACACATTACTTGTAATGCACTTCATGGCTTGAGCCCTAATTATAAATCTCCCTGGCTTTCTTTACATTTGTTTGTTTACTTTTCTCTCATTGTTATTCTTCCCAACAAATCAAACATTGCTGAAATTCACTTTGTTTATTTCGTTGTTTGTGTGTCTTCTGTAAAGCTCGGAGATCACTGGTGTTATACGTGTTATACATTGTAATGAAAGAATGTAGGGGGAAGAAAAAGAGTAAGTGAGCGAGTAGGTGCAAAGGGAAAAGGAGTGAAAGAGAGGAAGTGAGGGACTGAGAAAGTGAGAGAAAGAAAAATGGGAATAAAGATGAAAGCTGATTTGTCTCTCTCATTTCCACTTTAACTAGGTTTTCCCAGAGGAATGAATAGGCGTGCGTGCCTGCATCCGTGTGTGTGTGTGTGTGCAGGGTGGCCACAATGATCTGGGATTTTGCTCCCTCCGCCTTCCAGAGAGAGAGAGAGAGCGTAAGAGAGAGAGAGAGAGAGCGTAAGAGAGAGAGAGAGAGAGAGAGAGAGAGAGAGAAAGAGAGAGTAAGAGAGAGAGTAAGAGAGAGAGTAAGAGAGAGAGTGAGAGAGAGAGAGTAAGAGAGAGAGAGAGTAAGAGAGAGAGTGAGAGAGAGAGAGAGCGAGAGAGAGCAGTCACATGCAGAGAGGAGCTGGGACGAGAGATAGAACAGAAGAGAGCTGTCAAGCTGCGAGGAGGCAGCGGAGAGACGACTTACTTTTTCTTGGAATACATTTTCCCGTCCATCTCTGAAGCACAAACACACACACATGCACACACACACACACACACACACACACAAACACATGGATGGTAAAGTGTGTGAGTGCTGGTGTTAGGAGAAGTGAATTTCTTTCCAGATCGGGACTTATTGAAGCCTGACTCAAGACACAAGACTGTTTGGATTCAGTATCTTTGCAACTCGGACTTTTGCTTCTTACCGGTGCAGCACTTTGGACTAAGAGTGTGTGGGTGTACCTGTGTGTGTGTGTGTGTGTGTGTGCGTGTGTGTGTGAGAGTGTGTGTTGGGATTCAGCACTTCACCTGAATGCAACACTGAGATTTTGACCAACACTGCATCGGGCACCTGTTACTGTAGTTGCCTGAATTGTGTACGATTGGGCTTGGACTGTTTTTGTGTGTGTGAGGAGGATGTATTGGCCGGTGACTGCGGTCCTGCTCGCCCACCTTGGGGCTACCTTAACGGGGGCATGGAGAGCATCTCAACCAAGACTGCAGTTCACACACTCCGGTAAGAGGCTTTTTGTTTTGAGTGGTCTTTCTTTGCTCTTACTGTCTCATACATCTGTTGTGCTGTCATTCTCCACACACACACAAACACACACAGACACACAGACACACACTCATGCAGGTGACGGGAATCACGCAGCTCTTCTCGTTTTTCACTTTTCTTTCATTCCTGTTCTGTCACTGCCCATGCACTGTTATGCGATATGTGGAGCACAAATTATACCTCGTCCCTCTCCCCGTTTTGTTCCTTTCCCCCCCACTGTCTCACTTCCTCCATCTCTGTAATCACCTCATCTTCCTCAAACTTGGCTGTGACAGCCTTGTTTTTAGCCCCCGCCCAACCTCCATTTCTCCTCTCACCATGAGTTCTCTTCAAAAGTGACATCATTTAAGTGCTTATTTTGCCTCTCCATCACACTTGTGATGTTAGAAAGTTCCCTAAATTACATATTCAGTATGATTTTCACATGTTTGACATCGCTACAACAAAGTCCGATGGTTGTAAAGTTAATACTGTGTCTTTGCCACTTTATTTGTACGTAAAGGTGAAGTGAAAAGTTGCTGATATTCTCTGAATACACTGGAAAACTGTGTGCGAACACTGTTACAGAAAGTAGAGTGGGTCAAAGGTGAACGGCGAAGTCTGTTTAATCCGTAGTAGATGTTTGCAAAGGACAGTTTGGAGTATAGTTTTACCATCCACTTGTGTTTTCTCTCCCAAATTTCCACATTTCTTTTTAATTCAACAATTAAGCTTCACACCCAAAAGACTCATCATCCCTGTTATTCGTGACAGGACGAAGTCCCCCCCCAGAATGTGAAATCAAGTGTCCATGTCTGTTCGTCTCAGTTATGGCTAACAAAGACATAATTATCTGATGGCTTGAGTCCCAGATCCCCACCAAATTAATTATTTCTTGGCCCCAGGCCGATCCGTCCACCACAGCGAGATCCATGCAAAGGTTTCTGGAAAGACACAACAGGACTTCTATAAAAATGGGAAAGGAAAGGCCATCATTTATTGTTACTAAATGCGTAATTTCAGCTATTTATCAAATACCTCCTTTTTCTCCGTTTCTCAGTCTTCTTCTTCATGCACTTGTTAGTTGTCGCTGTGCCGCACGTTGCATTAACAATGTTGTAATGCTGCGTCAACGCGCCAGTGTTGACCAGGAGCGCAGTCTCTCGCTTGTTAACCTTGTGGAGGCAGCGGTGGGGTTTGAATCACTGGAGAATAGAAGGATCCATTTGATGCATCAGTGTCCTCCTCCAAACAAGATAGGGCTTAACATGTTGAGCCATGTTGGGTGTTTTGTTGTTTGGGTGTAACAAATGTGACGGTCAAAAGTAATGACAAAGCAAAAATCTGCATGTTATAATTGAAACGAGATTTGTGGTCTGATCTTTTTCCCTCTCGGCCATATTCACAGGGAATTACCTTCAAATCCAGAACTTCTCTGAGGTATCCAGGCCTTTAGTCACGGTCAGATAAGCTCATGTTTACTAGAGACACCATGCCATTAGAAACCGACTGATTACACATTCTTACATAAGCCAAAACACAAAGGGTCTGTGAAGTAGATGTGATAAGGCTGAAGTCGACCAATCGTGACCTAGAAAGTACAGAGAGGGAGGGGGAATGGGAAACCTTGTTGGATTCTCCCAGGTGGGAATTTAGCTCTAATGAAAGCTGAATGTGGAAATGTGAAGAGCTGCTGAAGTAGCTGCTTTGTGTGTGGGTGTGTGTGTGTGTGTGTGTGTCTTTGTGAGCATGCATGAACTATGTGTCTGTATGTCCTTGAGAATGTGTGTGTGTGTGTTGATGCATGTGTGTCGTTATCACTCGTCGTAGTCACTTTGAGGATATGAGCTTGAGTGTGTGTGTGTGTGTGTGTGTGTGTGTGCTGAAATAGAGCTGTTTTAGTTGCAGGATCTCTGTCCACCTCAGTCTTGGTGGGTCTGTTGTGTTTCTGCTCATGACTTTGAACAAGAGATGGTTGTTGTTTGGACTGTGTGTGCTTTTATAGCTACAGTGGCCAGTATGTTCATCTTTGTTCAGAACAAAAAGAAATATGTGATGTGTGTAGGGAGTGGGACTTTCACCATTATGCCTGTGTGTGTGTGTGTGTGTGTGTGTGTGTGTGTTGAGTGTGTGTGCTCTTTGTCTCTCTCTGTGGGAGCTCCATGCTGTGGTCATTTCCCTTCCCATCACCACGGAGGGTTTTCTCAGACAGAGGGAGGAGATTTTTTTTTGTCAGGGAATCGCTGCAATTAGAGAAGGATTTGAGCCTCACTTAAACACTTTGACGACTGATGTTGTTTGGCAGTTTAGAGATACTGAACATTTGGATTTTCCTTCATCTGTTGAAGTCATAGCAGACCACCACTGTAAAATCTTTTACAAAAGCAAATTTATCATGGAGTAAAGTGAGAAACCGTAATACAAGGAGAGAACAGCTACAGAAGATGATAAAAGAAGTAAAACAATCTACTAATGGATTATGTGCAGTTAGAGATCAGTAAATCAATAAACCTGATACTACACATGAAATATACAAAGTAAGACAAATTATATGAAATATAGAATAAAAGAAATGGCCGGTTATTTCGCAAACAAACATGTTAATCTGGCAAAAAACTGTATTAGTGCTGTTTCCCTCTCCAGCAAACATTCTGTAAAGGAGTGTGACCGTTGTGTAATGCATGACGTTGGAGGAAAACTCTGCAGTGCACTCAAAATCATTTGAGCAAAAACAATTTAGCTGATTGTCACATTTTAATTTCCTCTACTGGCTGAGAAACCTCTTCAACTCAGTAAAGCAGGCTTCACCTGCCAGCAGCGGTACACTATTCAAGCAACCTTGACATGTTAGACTGAAGCTGCTTGAAGTACGAACTGCATTCACTCAAAAATACAAAACTGTGTACATACAATATACTCTCTTTGTAAGATGTCAGCAAGCAGACTATATTTGCTTTGTATCTTTTCTAGATTGTGGTAATGTCTAGGATGCAACGCACAGAAAAGGGAACCTTCGGGTTACTTCTACTTTTCTGTAGCACCACTCTTGACCCAGACATGAACATAGACAGCAGGGAAAACATATGACGAAGCAAAGCAGAGCGGTGAGGTAGTGAAACAACAATGCTCTAGTGCTCAGAGGTCTTTGTCTGCACCACTGACTGTTTACTGACATCGACAGTGTGGATTGACATGCAATGATGTGTCGGAATCTATTGTTTATTTTGGAGAGCAAAATGGCCCTCTTTACATCCCATTACTACACATTGGAAGGGGAGTAAAGACTTGGGGCCAGAAACAGACATTAAAACACTGTTAGGAGAGGATGGTTTTATGATTACAGTCGTGACCTTTCAGATTTGTATCAAGATGGTACCACAGCTGGTTGCCTCGGGGTGTTGCGTCGTGTATGTCAGTGTTGCTGATGATGATCCAAACAGATTCACTTTTACAAATGAAACTCCACTGCAGATCTCTAGTCATTCAGGGTCAACCCCGACATCCATGGACTCAGACTTTACCGACATTTTGACCAGTGGAGCAGGCTGGAAGATTCCTCCATGAAATGCAGTTTTTATTTTTCTCTCGCTTACAAAATGAATGACCTGCTTCTAGTCGCGTCTCAGAAGGATTTCTCCCTCTGTCCTCCTCTGTGATACAAGCACCCCTTTGTTTCCTGCGGCGTTATCGTCGCCAGTAAAACTGAGGATAAAGTCTTTTGAACCTCCCTAAAGCACAGATAGCAGAGGATGGGTTTTGATCCATTGACCTCTGGGTTAAGGGCCCAGCACGCTGCTGTCAATCACCCCGGATGGGGCGCAAACCCACAATCCACAGTAAACGGTTCACCCGCCCGGGAGAGTTAGCAGCCACGATGTTGTGTGCATTGTTTTTTTGGAGACACATGCAGCCACTTTCCCAGTAAGTCTCCACCATCAATTAGTCTAGCTGCAGGGTTTGTCACTGTGTCTGCCTGGCTTACTCTGTCAGGATGATTCTTATTGTCGATTAACGGTTAATCTGTTAACTGTTAACGTCCCTGATTTCTTCACATTTCATATTAAGTACAGTTCATTCATGGTTCTGACAAGTCAAAGGGTTTCTCCTTTTAGCTATTGTGAGTTTAAGGCTGGACAGGGGTTATAAAGGAGATGCTACTGATCTCAGAACCAGACATTCAGAGCTGTTAGTCTGACACACAGAGAGAGAGAGAGGTCCTTTCACTGTCTGAGAGATTTCTTCTGATTGGTGAAGTGTAATCACACTGACTGATCGGCCAACTTCATGCGTTTGAAAAAAAGCAGCTTTAAATACTTAAATGCCGGATTACCTCCATCTCTCTCTTAATCACCAAATTATCCCAGTTATTCACTCAAACTTCATGTTGTCCATATGCAAGAGTGGGCTAACACACACACACACACACACACACACACACACACACACACACACACTTGATTGCACTAAATCCATTATCCCAGTCATTAAGTTGATGGTAGTGGGATTTTCTTCATGATGGATGGTTAGAGATACCATCTCTGTACCACACACACACACGCACACACACACACAGTACTCTACCTGAACAAACACAATCACATTAAAGCAAGAAAAACAATTGATATGGTTTTGTCTACACACGGACACAGAAATGCAAGTAGGTAAACATGCACACAAACACATTCATGGAGGTCTTATACTTACTTGCATACAGAGACACGTGCACACAGACACTTAAACTGCTGTCACAGTTCAGCCTTCAGCTACTTTCAAACTCATAACTGTCACATGGGAATATAAAGATTCATCGTCACAATCACAGAATAAAGCTCCTCTAACTGCCTCAGAGGAGGTCTGGATGCTTTATTAAGTCAATGTGAGCCTATTCTCCCCACATGGAGAAAGACATGTTTTATTCATTCAGCATTCACTTAGTGAATCGGCTTGCCAAAGACATTCAACTTTAATCAGTCACTGGA